TGGAGCATCGAGGAAGCACCTGCCACACGTGCAGATTCCTCGCAAGAGCCGTTGTCGCAGCCCAGCACGTTCACAGAGGAATACAATATCATAGGCAGGCAGGTAGTCAGACACAGCGGCCATGGTACGTAGATTTCATCGCCGATCTGCATCATGACAAAGTCACGAAGGACACCTCGAACGTAGGCATTGAAGCGGTCCAGCGGATCGCCGGTGGCTTGGTAGCTGACAAAGCGCTGAAGCTTCACCTCCCCCTGATCCACGGCATCCGAACCGGGCCCGGGCAAGTCCTGCTCACAAAAGACCTCCTGCAGTTGCTGCTCGATGGCATCCCGGTCGGAGGGCTCAGAACACTTTGCCGCCCTCACGTCGAAGTCTGCCATTTGATCCAAGATAAGCTGGTGATGCCGAATCTTCATGCGGAAAGAGAAGAAACTGGGGATAGAGGCAGGGAGCGTGGACATCGATGACGTCATCCAGATGACCAGCCAACCGACAAATCCCATCAAGACTGGGTTGCCTCCCGCAAGTGTCGCAGCCAGCCCCATGATATGGTTGTCCATAGTAAGCATCCAGTTGGGGAACACAAGCTGCGAAAGATCCATCAAGTTGGCACTGAGGAGTTCCAGCAAAATACAGCAAAGCAGCCAGGGAGCAAGCCATAAAGGCAACACATCAACCTTCTCCACACCTCCATGCCGAGCAAAAGTAGCTAGCTCTAGGTTGCACCACAATCTCTCAAAGTAAGACCCATCACAAAGTATGAGCATCCGGGTCGAGCGCACGACGAAGGTGGGCACTGACTTGATTTGTTCGGCTTTCAGCTCCAGATCTGTCTGATGGATGCACAACCTGTCTATCCAAACAGACGGAGAGCACCGTCCTGCAGAAAGCTGCTGTCCAAAAAAGAAGACAACGAAAAACATCGCCATTGGCAGGTACACAAAGCAGGGGAGAAGGAGTCGACTTCCCCCAAGACCGGCTGCACCATGCAAGGAGATCAACAGCACCACGAAGAACACCCACGTGATCATGCAACATCCGACGGCCATCTGTAGGTTTAGATACAAGCAGAGAGCAAGAAACTTCTCCCAACGACCTGCACTCCAAGCATGGCTAACGAACAGGTCCACGTTAGTGGTCTCCATCGATGCATCAAACAGAGTATCTCCTGCTTTCTGCATCTGCTCCCTGGTGGGAAATCGGATGCCTGCGAATCCGCCGGCGCGGAGCAATGTATGAAGGTCCTGGTTGAAGATCATCCCAAACCCCATCAGCAGCTGTCGAGTTGTCGTGCTGCGCAACGAGCTGGCTTGGAAGGAGAGCGGACGCCGGAGGCGGTGGCCAGTAGGTGCCGACATTGCCCAGTGCACAATCCAACAGTTAAACTTCTCAAGTATTTTAATCTGAAGCGCTGGGTTTGGTCATACCTCAGTTCAGGATGACTGCGGCTAAACCCATTATAGGTGTTAGTGGCGGAAACAGCAGCCGCAGCAGCAACCCACAGTTGGACTGGAAGCGGCTATGGGATAATGCTTCCACTCACGCAGTCGTCGTCATCTGTTGACTCTTCTACGCTTCTACTCGCAAGCAGAACTTCTGCTGCCAAAACACAAGCACACGGCCTGCCAAGTGTTTAAACTACGCTGTTAAACAACATAGCAAGGAAACAGCAGGGTAAACTGCCAAATTCTTGGACCCATGCAAACTAGGTCAACCTCTGGAAATGCGTAGGTTAAGCTCTTGTCTGCCAAACTTCAACAGATACAGAACGAGAGCCGCAGAGCCTTTTTTGCAACTGGACTCTCACGAATGCCAGCGGCAAAGACACAGGTCGCAAACCGAGAAGGACTCGTGCCTTCCATTTCCACTGCCCCGCAACCACAGAGCAAGTTAGTGAAACCGCCCATTGACAAGACGAATTTGTTCAAGGCGTTGCTTCAACTACAGGTGCTTCCGGTAGCAGTCGGAGCTGCTTCTCAGTCTCGCGTCGTTGGGCGAGAAGTACAGCAATATTTTGTAAGGAGCTGATGAAATCCACCTCTGACCTCTGAGATGGACAGAGGCAGAAAAGATAAAGCACCAAAGGCGGCTGCGAAGGAACTTCCGGGTTGCTACAATGCCTGAGGTGCCCTCGCACAGCACTATTTCGTATTGATTAATAGTATTGGTTGTAAAGAAAATTCTTGCTTTCATTATTAATATTATGATGATTATTGCCAAGGACGAAGTCAAAACTTTGCACAGGCCCTAACCACGTCAGAAGCTTCCACGGTAGGTTCCGTCCTCTCCTGCCACACAGCTGGTGCCAACTGCTATCGGCTCACTCAGGCGATTCACTGAAGGCCGAAGGCAAAACACTTGTGGCGTCCATTGGCTGATAGGTCGCGACTTGTCGTTGGACACAGCGACATGATGACTGGTGTTTCTGGCCCTGCGTTTCCCACCTGCAAAACAAACAGAGGCTCTGAATGACCAACGCAGTCATGACCGACAGGAAACACGTGAGCTGAGTTGGCGATTGAACTGTGACGACAGAAAGCAAAGAGGCCCAGATCAAGCCGCCACATATATACGTGTATTCATATGCTAGGAAGCAACACAAGAATGCCGCACAGCGCTGCACCGGACCATCGCCGAAGGACAGAACACACTTCAGCATCCGCAGCATCACCGGATAGGTGAGTGGGAATGTCAGCAGAATGTTCAGTGTCCAGCCCATAACGTTGGCCAGCATGTATTGGAGCATCGAGGAAGCACCTGCCACACGTGCAGATTCCTCGCAAGAGCCGTTGTCGCAGCCCAGCACGTTCACAGAGGAATACAATATCATAGGCAGGCAGGTAGTCAGACACAGCGGCCATGGTACGTAGATTTCATCGCCGATCTGCATCATGACAAAGTCACGAAGGACGCCTCGAACGTAGGCATTGAAGCGGTCCAGCGGATCGCCGGTGGCTTGGTAGCTGACAAAGCGCTGAAGCTTCACCTCCCCCTGATCCACGGCATCCGAACCGGGCCCGGGCAAGTCCTGCTCACAAAAGACCTCCTGCAGTTGCTGCTCGATGGCATCCCGGTCGGAGGGCTCAGAACACTTTGCCGCCCTCACGTCGAAGTCTGCCATTTGATCCAAGATAAGCTGGTGATGCCGAATCTTCATGCGGAAGGAGAAGAAACTGGGGATAGAGGCAGGGAGCGTGGACATCGATGACGTCATCCAGATGACCAGCCAACCGACAAATCCCATCAAGACTGGGTTGCCTCCCGCAAGTGTCGCAGCCAGCCCCATGATATGGTTGTCCATAGTAAGCATCCAGTTGGGGAACACAAGCTGCGAAAGATCCATCAAGTTGGCACTGAGGAGTTCCAGCAAAATACAGCAAAGCAGCCAGGGAGCAAGCCATAAAGGCAACACATCAACCTTCTCCACACCTCCATGCCGAGCAAAAGTAGCCAGCTCTAGGTTGCACCACAATCTCTCAAAGTAAGACCCATCACAAAGTATGAGCATCCGGGTCGAGCGCACGACGAAGGTGGGCACTGACTTGATTTGTTCGGCTTTCAGCTCCAGATCTGTCTGATGGATGCACAACCTGTCTATCCAAACAGACGGAGAGCACCGTCCTGCAGAAAGCTGCTGTCCAAAAAAGAAGACAACGAAAAACATCGCCATTGGCAGGTACACAAAGCAGGGGAGAAGGAGTCGACTTCCCCCAAGACCGGCTGCACCATGCAAGGAGATCAACAGCACCACGAAGAACACCCACGTGATCATGCAACATCCGACGGCCATCTGTAGGTTTAGATACAAGCAGAGAGCAAGAAACTTCTCCCAACGACCTGCACTCCAAGCATGGCTAACGAACAGGTCCACGTTAGTGGTCTCCATCGATGCATCAAACAGAGTATCTCCTGCTTTCTGCATCTGCTCCCTGGTGGGAAATCGGATGCCTGCGAATCCGCCGGCGCGGAGCAATGTATGAAGGTCCTGGTTGAAGATCATCCCAAGCCCCATCAGCAGCTGTCGAGTTGTCGTGCTGCGCAGCGAGCTGGCTTCGAAGGAGCGCGGACGCCGGAGGCGGTGGCCCGTAGGAGGCGACATTGCCATTGCAGAATCCAACCTTTAAATTTCTAAACTGATCCAATCTGAAGGGCTGGGTTTGGTTATACCAGCAGAGCGCAGGTGGACTAGTGACTAGAACCGGCTAGGGGACATTGCTTCCACTCACCGATCCTACGAGGAGTGGCACTTCTGGTGGTCGTCGTCATGTGCTCTGCAAAGGTTCTGCTCGCCAGCAGAACTCTTGACAAAACGCAGGTGCACGGCCTGCTCCACTTCGGCTTCCACCGGCTGCATTCTCCTGGCAAGGAAGGGACAAAAAGACTCAACATCCATAAACAGAAGGACATTCACGGCATGTCCAGTAACCCTTGAAGTGCTGTTTGAGTTTGGCGCGAATCAGAAAGCCAACCACTGCACACATCCAAACAACAAACACACGGTACTGAGACGGCCTCAAGTGGCGAAGATGAGAACGGGAGCCCTTTCTTGGTCCCTTCTCTTGACCGAAAAATGATTATAGTGCCCTTATAGATCCCTTATAATAGTAGCCCTTACAGATCCCTTTAAAGGGAGCCCTCTGCTCAAAGAGCCCCTTTGTGCTGCCGGGCAGCTCCACGAGCTGCTCCAGGACAAGTTGCGCTTGCCAAAGCCTGGAACAAACAAGGATTCGTTCCTCGGGGTTTCCTATACTGAACTTAGAACCCTAGCAAACATTATCATTTTAGCTGTTTCTTAGGGGTTATAATAACCAAAAATTAAAAACTATTTCTAAGTACCCCTGAGTTTCGGGGTTTAGGGATTGAAGGTTAACGAGTCGACGAGTCAGCTAGAACTGAAAGCTATCTTGTCTGCAGACCTGCACAACACCTGCATCTCGAAAACAATGCCGGACATGCTGGCAGCAACTGTGAACATGAAATACTCGAGCTGTACCTGGCAAGCACAAAAAGATAGACCACCTATTACTCCTCCTCCTCCTGCTCCTCCTCCTCCTCCGCCTCCTCCTCCTCCTACTCCTACTATACTACTGCTACTGCTACTGCTACTGCTACTGCTACTGCTACTGCTACTGCTACTGCTACTGCTACTGCTACTACTACTACTACTACTGCTACGACTACTACGACTACTACGACTACTACTACGACTACTACACTACTACACTACTACACTACTACTACTACTACTACTACTACTACTACTACTACTACTACTACTACTACTACTACTACTACTACTACTACTACTACTACTACTACTACTACTACTGAGACGTCTATACGCTACAATCTCGGCAACGGTATAGTTTGAAGCATTCAGCTGCTTCAGGGCTTGTAGGGTTTAGAGGCTTAGGGGTTTTGGGTGCAGGTTTTAGGGCGTTTGGGGATTGGGCGATGCCTGGTTGAGGATTTGGGGTGGAGTCGCCGATATATTCAAAAGCCCTGCATATGAAACCTCGGCAGACCCACCGACCAAAACAAGATCTATGAGAACCCATCATGAAAAAAACAAGCGCCTCTCGCCCTGCAGCGCACGGGTGCGCTGCTCGGACAGTTTCTGCTGTGCCCGCTGGAGTCTTTCCTGCCTCGGCTCAGGCGTTTCTCAGGGATTGGAGCGCAGAGTTCAGAGCCTGCTTCATCGGGTGATGATTGTGGCCATGGTCCCCCTGTAAGGCCGTCGAAGTGGCATGAAAGCCAGTCAGTTTGTGCCAGAACTACCCTGCCAATCTAGTCGCAGACCCTCAGGGTTTCTTGGGCTGCCTGATATCCCGGATGATACGATCGGCCTGCGAAGTGTTGCAGAGGCCATTATGGCGGCAGCAGCAGCAGCACAAGCACCAGTACCACCGCCTCCCCCCACCACCAACGTCATCGACTGACCAGTGTTGCTGTCGAAGCGAGTAGCGCGGTATTGTCGCCATCACCAGCACCATGTCACCACCATCACCATCATCACCCACTGTGCTTTTACATATCGCGAAATAGCAATGTCCTTATGCCAGGTACCGGCACAGTGAACATTACCATGACTACCGGACTACCAGAGCCCTGCCCCGAATATCTGCAAGCACAAAATGACATGGAGTTGCTAAGGAGCGGCGAACCACCCGACCAGTTTCTGAGCCTTAAACCTTCCAAAACCCTAAGAACCCTGGCTTGTGCTTGTCCGGTATCTCAGGGCAACTAAAGGTTAAGCTTTTGTTGGTATATAAGGGGTTTGTAGCACGGCAAAAAGCCCGAAGGTGACCTACTCTACTGAGCTAATCCCCAACCCTCAACCTGCATGCAGCACAAGGATCAGCTCCCGCAGGCCCTTGGCGAAGGCGGGGATCTCCTGAGGCGAGATCGACGTCGCGGAATCTTGCAATTAGCGACCCCCTGTCGGGCCCTCGTTAAAGGGCTCTTATCACAAGACCCTAGACCCTAAACCGTATAGGCTAAATCCTAAACTAGTAAACCTCCTATCAAGGATACTGCTGACAACATAGGGCTTTAAGGTCTTTCTTGGTGGTCCATACCTTCGGCAACTCTCAAAGAGTTCCAGGTGCACAGATTATGAAGTGCAGGCAGAAGCATAGCATCTTCGGGCTTTCGGGTTTTAGGGCTCAGGATTTCGGGCTCAGGGTTGTAGGATCCTCGGTTTTTTTGGTTTCAGCACTCACTCTCAGGGGTTTAGGAGTTAGGGGTCTTGAGGCTGTTCGGCTCCTCTGGTTTTTCAAGGCTGGAGTACACGGCTCTTGACTGCCACGATGATGGGGCACATGTCAATGTGTGTTGCCGTATCCTCGGTGATAATGCGTGGCACCTGCCGGAGCCGAAGCCTTTTGTAAGTTTAGATTTCTGAATATAGCTTGGCTATCCCAACAGCTTGACACCATGCGAGAGATTCAAGGCTCAAGGCTCGGAACGAAAGGAAACTGACCATACAAAACCTTCTCATCATGGGGGCCTTGATGATGAGAATCGGTCTAGCGGCAAATCATAGTACCTTGTTAACAAGGGGCCCCAAGAAATAACATTGGTATGCATTTTTGCTTCTGTATTACATCCACCGCCACATTCCTCTCCAGATACCGCGGGGCTCCTTCTGGCGCTGCAATGCATCGCGCTCCTGGGAACGGATGCAATCACCAACTCAAACCGGTATAGACCTGCTAAACTTACAGGCTTCAGCAACAATCACGAGTTGTAGACACAAGGGTTCAGCTCTAATTCAGGCTCTCTATCTTGCTGTCTGCCATGTATTGCTCCCCCGAAATTCACTGTAGGAAAAAGAACACTAAAGTCCGAAATCCCTAAGGGTTCCCTATACCTGAACCCTGTCACCCCCTGGCCCCCCAAAGATTACAACCCGCTTACGGGTTCCTTTGAGAGTCCTTTAATGGGCTCATGTGAGGAAATCCTCAAGGGAACGTTGCCCAACCCCCTAAACCCTGAAACAATAAAAAAGCCCGAAACAACTAAACTCTAAAACCCTAAACCCATAAACCCTCTAACCCTAAACCCAAAACCCTCAAACCCCTAAACCCTCGAACACTAAACTCTAAACGCCTAAACCCTCAAACCCTAAACTGAAAAACCCTGAAACCCTAAACCCTGCACCCCTTGGGCCCGTGAACCAGGCGAGCCTTGGAGGCGACCAGGCGCCTCGCAGCAGCCATGGAGAGAGCTGCCTCCTGGGAGTCCACGGGTGGAAGTACCCTATGGCTTAGGACCCGTTTAGGGCTTATGGCTTAGGGTAGGGTTTTTTTCCCACCCGCAGGGTAGGGTTTGGGGTAGAGGGTTTATAGGGTTTACTTATGGTTTAGGGTTGACATGACATAGGGGGTTTGGGGTTTATAGGGTTCCTATAGGGCTTGGGGCCTGCATACGGGGTTTAGGGTTTAGCGCGTATAGGGTGTCCCTATGGCTTAGGCTCTAAGGCTTTTAGGGCTAAGGGCCGAGGGTTTTTCGTGACTCTCGCAACTCGCACAAGGCAGGCAAGGCTACACTACAACGTGCAGAACACAGGAAAAGATAGCTACGAGCTTTAGCAGGTTTGAGGTCGGGGGGTTTGCGAGTTTGCGGATAGTACAGTAAGAGTTACTCTATGTGCTAAGCTGCTAAAGGCCTATGGCTCTAGAATCACTGCATGTAAGCCTCGGTTTGGAGGTGGGTTTCGTCGCCAAGGACCGTGAAGCGTGAGGACACGAGGTTTGCAGCTTTGTCAAGAATCTTGGACGCGGAATTCCGAGTAGAGGAACTAAGACTCTAATCAGGCGCCCTGGAAAGACTGGAGGGCTGAGAAGGGCTTCGTAAGGCTCCATAATGAGGGCTCGGCAAAGGTGCCGGATGTTTCGGGCCGGTCCTCGGACGCGACCGGCAAAGCATCAACATGAACAAGTCAACATGAGCAAGATTCTAGACCCCCAACTTGAGCGAGGACTTTCTGAAGCGCCTCCCAATGAGCCGGATCTACAAGCATGTCAGCCTCTCCTGCTCGTCAGGACCTTATAACCCCCTTTCTCAAGACCCCCCCCTAAATCCGAAACCTGCAGAGCCTAACCTCTAAACCCTTAGATCCGAAATCCCTTTTGCATCCGGGCTTGGGGAGTCGGCCGGGAAGGTCCTAAATCCTAAATCCTTTTTGCATCCCGGCCTCTTCGAACTGCCTAAACCCCCAAACCCCTAGATCCTAAACCCCTCAGCATCTACAGTAAACCCCATAAAGTTGGCAACCGATTAAGGCCAACTAGTGCTGGGATTCCCTATACATTACTCTTAAGGGTTGAAGCTATTGGGTCTCCAACTTTCGGGCTTCTACCTTTAGACCTTTAAACCCCCAAAAAAGGGTATCGGACCCAAGGCTCCCAAAAATGCGACTGCCAACAGTGGTTTAGGGTTGTAAGGTTTTGGAGTTTAGGGGGTTAAGGGTTTAAGAATTTGGGGTTTCATATGGGTGCGATCATCAGGGGATACGTGTAATGAGAGGCCTCACTACAGAGCGAAAGAGATCACTCCTAGAACCTTTCAGCGCAAATCCCCCGATCAGCCTGTCCTTCTCCGTATCCAACATCTGCTGTGTGGCCTCTCGCAAGCCCTCTGGCTCAGCTTTACCATCCTCGCGGCTTCGTCTGGACTTCAGAAGGTTCCTCTACTAGTGTGCTGGGGCTCCCTATGATATAGGGCTGAGGGTTAGCAAGGGGAAACTTGACGAATCTCTGCTGTTATAGGATTTAGGCTTTAGAGTCCGGGAGGCTGTCAAGTTCTTACTATTCTAGTGTTTAAGGTTTAGAGCTCAGAGTCTGGTGAGACTCCCAAGTTCTTGCAGTGTAGGGTTTTGGGTTTAGTCGTGTGGGGATTCGGAGGGTTTAGGGGTTTAGGGTTTTTTTTACACATGTTAGAGGTTTAGGGGTTTAGGGTTTAGGGTTTTGAGAAAGGGCGCGGCGTTGGGGATCTTCTGGCTGACGGGTTTTGGCTATGGCTGAGGGTTAGGGGGAAACTGATGAGTAATTACTGTTACCGCTTAGCTAAGCACTCAACCTTAAGACCCGGAAGCCCATCCGTTATAACCTGTTAGCAGCCTAACCGTCAACCCGAAATGAGAGAGTCCCGAGTACCAAGGGTCCTCATAGGCCGCGACGAGCGGAGCGCTAGCATCCAATGCTTTCCTTGCTGTAGGGAGTGAGAATGGTGTTGTCGTCTTCAAACCCTATCGGGGCCTGAATATATTCATCATCCGAAAAGTGCCACGGCCTGAACTTTCAAGTCTAGTCCTGACAGGACACGGGACGTGTTCGCAGGTCTGGTACTGTCACTGCTGCCTTGAGGTCCATATTAGCAAATGCAATCATCTCAACCCAAAAGACCCAACAGAATCCTCAGCCTTCAAAACCACTTGAATACTAATTCCAGACACCTCCTTGAAGGCCCATGCCTTTGGCGACAGAGATGCTGAACCAAGAGCTCCACTTCAGCGACCGGAGCATTGGTGTCTTGCCTGAGCGTTGTTGTTCTTCTCACTTTCGGATATACGCCCTTGTCTCCCGTTAGCATTGTGGTTTCGCAGCAGAGCTCAGGGGTCAGGACCTAGTTGCTTACTGCTGCTGCTGCCACTCTACCAAACCATCCTGGCCACCGATCTTGACGACTTAGGTGCGGCTTCTCCTGCTCCCGCTCCTCCTCTCCTTGTGCTACCCACAACTCTTGACCCCAAAACTCCCAAGACCTGAACTTGTCTACCTAAAAAACCCTGCCAAACCCGAAACAAACCCCACCCTCACTCCCTCTCGCTCTCTCTCTCTCGCTCTCTCTCTCCCTCTCTCTCTCCCTCTCTCTCTCCCTCTCTCCCTCCCTCCCTCCCTTCCCTTCCCTCCCTCTCTCTCTCTCTCTCTGACTTTCTCTCTGACTTTCTCTCTGACTCTCTCTCTCTCTCTCTCTCTCTCTCTCTCTCTCTCCTCTCAGAGACCCTCAAGCACAAACCAAGTCTTGTTAAAGCCCCCGCTTCTCCAATCAGAAGGCCTCTTCGTCACAACCTCTTCGAATCATTACCTGACCTGTCTACTACTAGACCCTTGAGACAAAGCGCAGGAGAATCCAGGCTTCGCTCTGGCCGAGTTCCTGAAGGGCTCTTCGAACCCGTGTTATCCATGGCCAGGTCGGCCAGGTTGTTCTTTATTCTTTTGTGGTTCATGTCCCGTTTCCGTCAGGGATTTAGGGTTTGGAATTCAACTTTTAAGTGGTTTAAAGGATTAGGGTTTTAAGGTCTAGGGTTCAGTGGGTGTTTTCCCTGCTACACGTACTTGGCAACGACAAAGCCCGCATTGCAGGAAATGCTCGGTAACTGCGGTTTTTGCACAGCAGAAATTCGAGGACGTAGCCCATTTCAGTTACCTTAACCAGTACGGCAGAGCACTCTGAGAAAGAAACCTTCATCGCACAGTCACAAAGCATCACAGACCTAAACCGACAGAACACACTGTTCCCTAAGCGAACGATCATCAAGGACTTCCATCGTTTGTCAAGGGGGTAAGGGATAAAGTCCAGCGCGGTCTCTGAAAGAGGCGAGTGGAGTACCTCAGAAGCCCCAAACCCTCATATTTCCCAGCGTGGGCTCTGTAGTAGTAAAGGCTGCTATTGCCAATGTAGAGCCCTACCTACTAGGAGGCTTGGTGTAATTACCCCTTCATTGCGAACCTTTTAAACAGCCCTCACAAAGCTCTTGTACAATTCACCGGCCTTACAAGCCCTTTATGGAGCCCTTCTCTTACTCCATGACCCTTCTACAGCCTTTCTAAACCCCGTGAAGCCCTGAGCAATCCCATGTCGCCATTATTAATTATTAGTTACAAAGCTCTACCAAGACTTCCAGGAGGACGCCAAGTGTGAACGAAGGCTCCCGTAGGATGGTCTCCAACTTTTCCGGCACCAGTTGGAGTCTGACTACCAGCTGCTTCAGCTCTTTTCCTGGGCTGGAGTCTTCTGTGGGGGTACGTTCATGTGTTTAGGGCTTGAAACGGGTTTGGAGTGGGTTTAGGATTGGTCTTGGTGGGAAGGACGTGAAGGAACCGGCACTCAGACTGCCTTTGAACATGCCATGGGTCAATAGAAACACCTTGAATGACCCTCAAAACGGCCCTTAAATCAAGTGCAGCCCCTTGACGAAAATTCTAAGACCCCACATAGATGTTAATAGGGGCAGCTTTTGAAAAGGTCCCAAACAAGAGCCCAGTTTCCAGTGGCTTCCCGGCTCTTCTCCGGGACCTGGTCCATGCCACCAAGGCCTTGGACGAGAAGAGTTCGGACGCATCTTATAGTGATAAAGGCTAGGGCTAAGGATTTGGTAAAGGGTTTCGTAGGCCTTCATGCGGATTCTTCGTGTGGGCAGTGTAAAGTTCCAAAAAGGGTGTCAATGTATTCTAGGAGGGCTTTATGCGGCCAGAGCAAATTTTTGTAGGGTGTTAGAACGGACTGATGTGGTCTTACATACTTGGGGGAATTGCCAGGCTCTGTCAGAGTAAGTAAGCCTGTAGAAGTTTAGGAACTGGCGTTTATGGGTCTTGCGTTGAACATGCGGCTTCTGGGGTCTGCGGCGTCTGCGGGGCTGGTCTTCGGGAATAAGTCTTCTAAGTAGCCGAATGGGAGTATGATGAGGTTTCGAAACCTGATCCAGGATCTTTGCAAGTCCTGCGCCTTGACTTGAGAGTGTCTTCTACTGATGCGCATAAATACACACACATGAAACACATACATGTCTATAGACGTGGATACATAAATGTATATGTGCATGCGTATATGTGTGTGCATGTATGTGTGTATGTATGTACATGATGTAAGTATGTATGTGTGTATATTCATATATGCAAATGTGAATGTATAATATGTATATGTATGCATGCATGTACGTGTGCCGCTTACAAAAATGTACGTAACATGTATACGTGCATACATACACATGCTTGTATGCATACATATATATATATATGTATTTATACACATTGCATTATGAATATAGATACAACAGTTTATAGACAACTATAAAGCTACATGTATATGCACACACGGTAGATTACATAGACAAGCACACATGTGTCATTCGAGTACCTCATAGTAACAGTAGCCAGCACGCCGCAGGGCTTTGAGACATTCCGGTTTCGGATCTCTGATGCCAACAGCCGAGTTTAAGGTTTAGGCTTTTTTTTTGCCTCCTGCATCGCTGAACGCACTCTAAGTGATGCTTCTCACCAGTGAATTCCCTCATGGTTTAAGGTTTAGGGTTGCTGCCTTGGGGTTAAGGGGTTTACAAAACTAGGGATGCCAGGCTTTAAGGTTCACTAAGCTCAAAAGCGGCCAATACAAGTATCATCTTTCAGCGCCGTCCCAGGTGCGAGCACGCAGGAATGAGGCAGCTTGCTGTACCTGCGGACCAGAAAGCCAACCCTGGCTTCAGTGTTTGGACTGCCAAACTTATACTTAACCCTACATCCAGAAAAACCCTAAACCCCAGTCATGCCGTGCAGTTGTCGTTGGCGGTTGGCCGCATGACGATCAAAGCAGTGATGGCCGTGACGACGATCGAGTGATATCAATGCTGGTGCTGCTGGTGGTGATGGTGGTGGTGGTGGTGGTGGTGGTGCGCACTCTACGCCTTTAAAGTCTTTAAACCAAGCTTCCCAGAACAGCAGCTGCCGGGCGCCTTGAGACACGTGGTGTTTTCGCAACTCCCCACCTTGGTCTTGCACTTGTCAGCCTCCTTGCGGCACCTTGCTCCAGCTTCCGATGCTTCTTCTGCAGTCATCGCAAACATGCTCGCCTCCTTGGACGACGGTTGCAGGTGATTTCAGGCTTTGCTACTGCTACGCTGCTACGGGCACTGTTGAGGCTTGTGCCATTGCCACCTAATACTGCGACTCCCGACCACTCCCACTGCCACACCACTGCAGGAACTGCCACTACCACTACCACCACGACTACCCCTGCTGTTGCTGCTGCCACTTCCGTCTCCTACTCCGGCAACTCCTACACCTCCCACAAATCCACTCCGACTATGTCCACTCCAACTTCCTCCTACTACCACACCTACTGGCACCACGACGACGACGACGACTGCTCCTACTCCTACTCCTACTCCTACTCCTACTCCTACTCTTACTCCTCCTCCTACTCCTACTCCTACTCCTATTACTAGTAGTAGTAGTAGTAGTAGTACTACTACTACTACTACTACTACTAGTAGTACTACTACTACTGCTGCTGCTGCTACTGCTACTGCTACTGCTACTACTACTACTACTACTACTGCTACTACTACTACTACTACTACTACTACTACTACTACTACTACTACTAAGTACTACTGCTACTACGGTCACCACCACCACCACCGCCACTACTGCTCAATTTTAGTTGCTTTGGTCTTTATGACGATAGCCAACTAGTGCCGAAATGGTTGTCGTAGCTGTCATTGATGCTGGTCACTGCTATTTCTGCTGCTGTGGCTGCTGCTCCCCTTGTTAATACCTAAACCCTAGAAGTCTCCATGAATGTAGGGCCAAGGCGGGCACCCGCAGATTCTTAGTAGGCTTTTGAGCTCTTCAGACCTTGAAGTCCGAACGCCTGAAAAACTGTGAGAGTCAAGCTGTATGACACAAAGAAAAACGTATGCTAGAAGCTGGCTGTTGGGATTGAGGCTTTGCTTTGGGGCTGAGAAGCTGCAAAATGAATCCTGCAAGCCACTCACCCTACGTCCACCCCGCTTCCAAGCAACCCTAAAGAACGCCGCCGAAACCCGAACGAGCGGAACCCAAAGGCTCCGGCTACCTCAGCAACACCCCGCTTTTGGTAACTGAAGCCACGGAAAACGCGACACTCTGACCTCCTGAAGCCTGCAAGGCCCACTTCCGAGCTTCAAAGGTCACGCGGCTGCTGGATGCCACCTTTCAGGGCGGGGCTGTTGGGTTAAGCTCAAGGGCTGACTCAAGGGCTTGGGGAGACCAACACAGCAAACCATCGTGATGTAACATGTTTCGGTGCAAAGGAAGCAACCTTACATAAGCCGCACTGCTTGGCTGCTGTCGTTCGTTTAGAGGTAGTATTGGCGGAGGACATGATCTCGCGAGTGAGTATGTGTACGGGTATGTGCACAGGTGTCTGTCTGTAAAAGTCTACATGTAAGCATGTATACACGCGCGCACCTGCGCATGCATGGAGCCATGCATGTGTGTACGGACGTGTGATTGGGTGTATGAGTATGAATACGTGCATACCTGAATGTATATATGTGCGCATGTAGGCATGCACACATATGTGCACGTGTGTGTGTGCGTGTCTGTGCACATGCGCACGTAGATGGATACATGTTTCATTCATATATATATATATATATATATAATTATGTATATGTATACATACCATATGTATATACCTATATATACATATGTGCATCTACACGCATACAATGAATCTTGATTTAGAGGGGCCCCCAATGCGGGGATGTCAAATGGAGTTTGCTAGCAAGGGCTCTTGAGGATGTTGGTTCGGAGCCAACGTTTGAACTCTGTTTGCCCCGCCGTGATTAACTTGACAAGGACTGGCACTCACTGGCACTCATTACTCCCTACGCTACTACTTGGCCAAATTCTATGTGTGCAGTGTCCATCAACCACAGAATCGTATACTCCTAAACATCCTAGTATAGCCCTCGTACCACTTTAAGCTCGAAAACCTTTCTCATTATGTTCTTATCATACAAATTTGTGTTGGTGGTGTTGTCTTTTGTTGTTGCTGCATTCTGTTCTTATTGGTATGACAGTCTGTTCCTATTGCGATTTATCACGTGTTGTTGTGTTACATAATTGGCTTGTACTATTTACTATTATCCTTATTGACCGTATTCTTCTTAGGTTTGTGAGATACTCCGGAGCCACGGCAAAGCTGATACCATGAATCTCAGACCTCAAGTTGCTCCTCTGCAGACTCCACTCGCTCGACGGCTGTACCTGGCTCTGGAGGGTTTCCAAGTTTTTGGGCTTTGGGCTGAGGGCCTTATATAACCCTAAGCCCGACTCCGAGTTGAGTTTTCATAGTTTGATTTTTAGGCCAGTTTATGGTTTGGCGTTTAGGATTTTTAGGATTTAGTGTTAGGACCCGACTTCTTTTCGGTGAAAACAAACCAACCAGAACCTTTGCCTGCAAACGTCTTTCACGGGATGAACTGCTGAGCTTCCTGTCGAAAATGCTAATTCGAGATCGCAAATACCAAATCGACAATGATGCAAACGACGGCATGTACGGCATCTGCTTCTTGATTTTCACCTTGAGGATTTAGGATTAAGCTTCGTAGGTCTTTGACATGGGTCTGCACCCGAAAGACTGAACCTCTCCATGCTCGTGAAAAGCCCCGAAACGACCGAACTGTCAATGCCATGAGCAGCAATGCATAACGCACCTCCTTCCGACACCCCGAGCCCTGACACTACAAGTCCTAGTTCTTACAGTTAACCTAGCTGGTTCCGTGGCTACAGCCAGAGGTTTTATCAACACCCAAAACACGCTGAGGGTCAGCGACTTAGTCTTAATCAAAGCAAAGTAGCGCATCATCTTGTGACACCGGACGTCCTCCCGCACGTCACGCAAGCGGGTGCCCACAGCGTCCAGGCCTCAACGTGTTGTGCCTAATACAGGTGACTGACTCATAAGACTTTGTGGCATTTTAGAGTGCGTGCACATATATATATATATATACATGTATACACACGCGTCTATGCATAGGCTGTCTATAGGGACTAGGGACGCCGCGCAGGAGCAATTTATCAGTGATATCTTTGCCAAGATCCTTCCTGTGGAAGGCTTGGTCAAGTAAGACGCTTCTCGGGCCCCGCGACGGCCCCATTACAGTCCCCTGAGCATCTGGGTTGCTAGCAAGTTCTCTGGCTCTGCGGATGGACACCAAAATAATGGAAAGCCGAATCACCCTAATCCTAAACTAGGTTCTAAACCTTGTTCAACCCTAGAACGCCTTAAGCAGCCTTTCACCATACCCTGGAATGAATGTTCCAGGAATCCTTCGTAAAACCTTTTATTAAGGCTCCTTCAGGGGGGGGGGCCCTTCGAACCCGAGCCTGTCTTGCAGGCCACAGTCCGGGAGCGAAGATCTGCGACCTCTTTGGGTGCGCGGGCGCCCGGCTTGCACAAGGCATCCTCTGTGGAGGCCGGAAGGTCTGTAGGGATCAGGGCTTAGGGGTTTCTTCGGGGTGAGGGTTTTACGGGGGTTTCGTTTGGATCCTGACCCTCATTGCAAAACTTATAAACCTTGAACACTATGTTCGAAACCCTCATGACTGTCGCTTCTCGTTACTCGGCCAGGATGTACAGCCTCAACAGCTGACCGCCAAGGCCTTCTATAAGGAAATCTTAAGAAAGGATCCCTCAGAAGGTAAGGTTCGATAGGGTCCAGGTTGCCTTAAGCCCAAAACCACAAAAACCACTTTTCCTAAACCCTAAACCCTAAAGCTCTAAACCCTAAACCCCTAAAGCCCTAAACCCCTAAGCCTGAATGAAGGGCTGCACTTGCGGCCCGACGTGAAACAACAACCGGAACACCGTCCTGGGCCCCTAAACCCCTAAAATCCCCTAAACTCCCCAAAGCCCTGAACCCCTAAACCCCTAAAATCCCCTACAGCCCTAAGCCCTAAACCCGTCCTGCGACTTCTTGATCGCTGCCTCGGCTGTCGTAATATGGGGGGGCCTTAATATTTAGAACAGGGTGCCTGGAAGGGGTTCTTACAACAGGTCTACACGGGTTACTAAAAGGGTTGTAAGAAAAAGAGGCCTCAGAAACTAGAATCGGGTTTTTGCGGAACAACCATCCAACGCGTGGGTGGCTCAGGATTCAGGAGCCCACAAACTCATGCATCCACTTGTTACTAGGCTGTTCAGTAACCCACTGGGAAAAAGTGTATACTTTTTTCGGCTTCTCATTTTATAATAGGAACCCAGAAACCTGAAAGTACAAAAGTGTACCACTGAACAGCCTGGTGTTGATTGTGGTGCAAGCCAGCCAGGCCAGCTTCTCGGCGCTGCCCTTTGAGATCAAATCTTGCTCCTTCCTGCAAACTAAAATAATATACATAGCTTAATACTTTAGTATACCTTCACCCAAATATACCGCAATATCCTGTAATATACGATCATATACACCTTCATATAACTACTATCAGTGACCATGACATACCGCCATATCCTGTAATATCATATCTACCTCAATATATAATTACTATAAGTGACCATAATAGCTAAAACCCGGGGCGACCGGGGACCTCGGTCGCAGGTTCACCAGACTATGGGCCTGGAGAAGGCAGGACCAGATCTTCATCCTCCGTCCGCGCTTCCATGTGTGGGTTCAAGGCTTTCTAGAATTTCTAGGGTTTATATGGCTTACAGGGTTTCAATAGGGTTTTTAGGGCTTGTAGCGTTTATAGGGTTTATAGGGCTTATAGGGTTCAAATAGGGTTTTTAGGGCTTATAGGGTTTACAGGGTTTGTATCGGGTTTAGGGTTGCCTTATAGTTTGAGGGTTTTGTTTCTTAGGGGTTGTTTGGGCCTCATCAACTCGTTGAGCCTCAAGCTGCAAACACCCCCAAACCGTAAACTCTACATCCTCATCTCTGACCTATAAGCCCTCAGCCCTAGTGGCCTTAACCCCCACATAGGGCAAGAGTTGCAACTGCCTTCGGTTTTCTGACTTCTGGCCAGTTGCAAGACTGCGGAGCTGGGCAAGGAGGTCGTTCTCCAAGTTCTTCAACACCTTACTCTTGAGGGTTTTGGTTAGGGTTTAGGGTTCCTAAGGAAATATGGCAAGAACAGCAAGCAGACTTTCGGAGCCTCGTGTCAGAACCATGCTAATTCCACGAGTAGTTCGTTGCATGATTTTCAGAACCGGTATGAGCAATTCTAGCAAAAGGCACAAATCGGCAAGAGAGGATACTGAGAACTCCACGAGTCCGCAAGAGCTTGGTATCTAGGCTTTCTAGTACGTGAATCAGGGCGCCCGTTTTCCTACAACTCAGTTCTAGGACCTGCCTTTACTAGAAGGTGCAAGAGACAACTCCTAGAAGGTGCAAGAGACAACTCTGAAGGACCTATGCTTATTCTGCAGCGGTGAACTGAGGCACTTCGGGAGCAAAGTCACCGCCATCTAAAGCGCTGTTGGCCTCCTGGGAGCGAAAAAGACGGTCTTCACAGTGATCGGGTTTGGAGCTTTAAGGGCCCCTATTAGGGTTTAGGGTTTAGGGTTTACGGTTTAGGATTTAGGGTTTAGGGTTTAGGGTTTAGGGTTTAGGATTTAGGGTTTAGGGTTTAGGGTTTTCTACAGTGCCACGGCTGCCCCCCCCAGGTCATGTGTCCGCAGGGGGGGCGCCGTCTTTGCATTTGATAGCCCACCCCAAACCGCCCAAATTTTTACCTTTCACGGGTTTAGGGTTTTTTTATTCGAAAAACCCCGGGGACTATTCTTCCATACCCCCTCCCCGAAGGAAATAAAAGTTGTATGTCGGCGAACCGCCAATCGCGGATTCGAGCAGGCGCGAACGCAATTGTGTTGTGGTCGCTGGGAGTGACATGAAATCTAACCTGCTGCCAGCCTACCCACTGTGTAATTTATCCAGCCGTTATGCATGTGTAGTTAGCGCTCACGTAGACGAAGCTCCACGTTATTAGTACGTCGATGCTAAATCCTAAATTTGCTGTGGCGATCATACCGGTGATGGTCCGATTCGGAGGAAATGGCATTGATGTGATACCTGGGCAGTTACTGGTCCGGTTGCAGCAGCGAACACCAGCCAGTCGAGATCCGATGTTGCACACGGGGGGTGGGGGGGCGGCCAAATAATGTGTATTTTGCAGCAAATCCATGGCGTCGTTTTACTTTGAAGTTAATTAAGTATGTTTAATTTGAGCCATACCACTTAAGTTCTTGGTGGTTCGTATCAATGTCGTGATGTGTTCGGGGCCTAAGAACAGAAACATCTGAATATGTTTGAAGCAATGTGACTCCAGAAAGGTGGAGCAGAAAGTGAAAGGATGAGGCGCCAGCAACGATTCCTCATCACGCAGATGAGGAGCTTGCAGATTGGACGGTCATCGCCAAGCGATCAGAAAGCTGATGGTGCTATCATAAAGCGACGTCGTTACGGAGTTGGCAGCCTTGTTGGTGAATGGTCTTCAGCTTCTCGGTCATCGCAAAGAAACTTGACAGCTGTGGTTGCTATCGTGAAACGAAGGCGTGACCGCAGCCGCAACGGTTTCGTGATGTATCGTTGGAGGCGTGCTTGCCAGTGTGCTACGGCCAAGGGATTCTTGAGCAGTTGCTGGATGCGCTGTCAGTAGATGCTATATGTACCGAACTTTCATAGGGCAGGGCGGTCCGCGCTCACGACATCCTGGCTCTATCGAGCTCAAAGGGAGCGGGATGAGGCAGACGCACGGGAAGGCGTGCTGGTGAAGAACGAGACAGGCGATGCCATGCCGATGTGAGTTGGACATTGTAGACCGGCGAGGACCAGTGGCCGGGTAACCAAGCACAGCGGGTACAGAGGTTTGGAGCTTTAAGGGCCCCTATTAGGGTTTAGGGTTTACGGTTTAGGATTTAGGGTTTAGGGTTTAGGGTTTAGGGTTTAGGATTTACGGTTTAGGGTTTAGGGTTTAGGGTTTAGGGTTTAGGGGGCCCCTATTCTCGAAAAAGGATCCTACTATTTAGGGTACTATATTAGGGCCCCCCATGTCCGGAAACTCCCAGGTGGAGGCCCGTCGCCCGGGAGCTCAATCTGCGAAGAACATAGGGACCCCTGAACCTTGAAACTAGACGGGTTCTGCAGAGCTTCCGAGGGGCTTGAGAGCGTTCTCACCATGTGCAGAGCCTTAAGTTGTTGAGGTTTGAGGGCTTAAGGCTATTATGAAGATCCTTGTGGGGTTTTACACAGGATGGTGAAGGCTCTGGGGGTGTAGGGCGTTCCGGTTGTCTTCGCTGTGATGGGCCCCGATTCTGTAAGGCCTTGTCGCTTCTCGTTCTCTTCTTCCGCGCTGTTACGTAGTAGTATACCAAATGCCTGAGCGGAAATTGCTGACCTTGCAGAGCTCTCTGCTACTACAATGCTTACTGGACTGCTCTCACCGTGACGGACGTACTTCCGGCAGGCTCTCATGTCTGTGCGCTGAGCATACTTTCAAACATCCCAGAACACCCTCATTGTCAGATCAGCCGGCCCCAAACCATGATCAAACCCTAATCGTCCACACCTTCCGGATGGTAACGGCTCAAAACTTAACCCCCCCGCCACCCCCCCCCGTCCTGGATGCCCGTCTCTACCTGCTCCAGCTGTCCTGCACATCCCACCCTGCCCGAAACAGCTGAGGGTTTAGCGAATAATGCGGCCCTCTCGCCTGACAAGGATCCTCTTATGTTAGTTAGGGTTTAGGGTTTAGGGTTTAGGGACGGCCCTCAAGGAGAGCAGCCTGTTAGTCGAAGATGTGGTTGGAGGAAGTCCCAGTTTAGCTAACTGCACACTGGCTGAAGGACCAAAAGCCAAAACGTAACCCCGACATCGCTCATACCTGATTGAAGCCGACAGCCTAAACCCTACAAGCGGATGCCAGTGTGCAACCCACGACAAAAATCCAAATGTCCTGCGAGCTCTGCCAGTGCCGCAGGGTCGATGGGAGGAGGTTTCGGTGCCAGGTGCGGCTTGAGCTCAGCCTCCGGGTATTTTTGTTTTAATAGGGGATCCGTAACAAATAGTATTGCTTTTCGGCTTTCCATATCATTTAAATGTCATATCGATCTACACATACATATATCCATCTATCTGCACATGTCTATCAGTATCTTTACCCATGACTCCACCTATATCTATATACCGGTGCAGGTAATGTATACAGGCACAGACAGACAGACACAGACACAAACATAGAGACACACACACAGAGAAGCTTGCGATGGGCGTTTAGGAGTGCGAGGCTTGGGAACTTGGGTCTGGGTACCGGGTACTGGAGTGAAGTAACTTTGGTGCTAGTTGACTTAGGTCTAGATTAGAACCCGAAACCCCAAACCCCTAAACCCTAAAACTTCTAAAACCCTAATTATGAACCCTAAACTAGACTGTACCCCTAGCGAAAACTATATAGTGGGTTTCAATTGTTTCTTAGGGATTATCAGGAACAAATATTGAAATCAATCCGAATATCTTCGTAAACGCAGATGGGAGATCCTCAAGGCGCTGAAGCTTCTTCTGCAGCTTGGAATACTCGGCCGCAGCACTCGTCCTCGGGGTTTAGGGCTCCTCTGTACTGCAGTACCCAAAAAGTTGGAAACCCAATAGCCTCAATCCTTAAGAGTAATGTATAAGGAATACCAGCACTATTTGGCCTCAGTCCGGTTTCCACATTTATGGGGTTTACCGTAAACTCTTTCGGGCCTTGTTGGATTTTCGGTCCAGTTTCCAAAACAGCGTTGCAAGGGTTTTTTCGGAAGAAGGAACTTAGCTTGAAGTTGCCACAATAAGGGTTCACAGTAGGCGCTGTACTTGCCTCAATATGGCTCGTTCAACTCTGCAAACACACCTCTGCCCTGGCTACACACTTCGAGGATCAGGAAAGGAAATGAAAAGATCGGAGATGGGAGGCTTCCTGAACATGCTACCTGCATGCACGGTTTGCAGTTTCATGCTTTGTTCTCCTATGTTGGCTCAATTACGTGAATTCGTTGAGCAGGCCTTCGGATCTACCATTGGCACTGTAAGCTATACAGGGCGTTAGGACGATATGACAGAGAGACCACTGTTCCTAATCGCGGAGTGCTATGCGAAAGGCCCAGTCCTCTAGTCACAGAGCTGCACTGGGGTAATTACGGTCCCTTTTTTAAAGGCACGAATATGATAATGGCACCGTTGCAAAAAGGACCCCAAAAGGGACCCTACTTGTTGTCACTAATAGCTCTGGCTACCCTTCTGCTACCATAGTCGAACAGACATCACGACCGTCATGACGATGGGGGCGACGCGGATAAGGATCACACTCACTAGCATCGTGGAGGTGTCGGACTCAAGCCCTAAAGACTTCGAATTCCTAAAGCTCCAAAATCCGGAGGCCGTAACCTCGAACGTGTCAACCCGCCCGAACCCTCTTGAAGAAGGTCTGAACCCGAAGCCCTAAACCCCGAAATCCACGTGTCAACCCCCAAAATGTGCAGGGAATCGTCTCCACTAGACCCAAGGCGCCGGATGCCAGGAGCAAACTTCCTTGCTGCTGCGACTTGCCTCACCAAAAAGGACCCCCCCCCCCCCCCCCGCGACTGAATACAAGCAGGCGAGAAAAGGAAAAGGTTGTGTGTGTGTGTGTGTGTATATATATATGTGTGTGTGTGTGTTATAAACACACAAATGTATGCGTGAAAGTACGGTATGTGTTCACTTCTTTGCATGTTGAGAAAATGCTAATTTTGAGATCACAACAGTAGTCGTAATAACAATTAACTGTCATCACAGCAGACACGCTGAAAGTCCCCGCCACTGCTATAACAATGGCAACCAGATTTGCGGCGGCACAAAAGGAAATCAAAGCCTACATGTGCAAACATTTTACTGATACATTTCACATACTGAGGTGTGTACAAGGCAACATGCGAGGTTGGTGCCACTGGGGGGTGTTTGCAGAGTTTCGGGCATTGAGGGCGGGTGGCTTGGAGTTTGCAAATCTAGTGTTTCGTGGTCCCTGGTTCTTCCTTGGCGGGCAATTCAGCTAGTCATGCTGAGAAAGAAAGGTATGGACTTTTGTTGGTAAGCTGCTCCTCGGATGTCTGTTGCTGTTGCGTCTTCGTCTGATTTCGGCGGTATCTTGCTGGATATGTTCTCTTCCGAACTCCGCAGCAAAAACCGCTCAAAGCTCCTGTGGCTGGACATCGGGACACAGCATCCTAGCACCCCGTAACCCCTACATCCAACAAGGTTGCACGCTAAAGCCAAACAAGACCCCCCCCACACTCTATATACCTCAAACTCAAACCCAGCGCCTTAGATTCTAAGTTCCCAGAATAAGAAAGCCCATAGTCACACCCCAAATGTGCCTGGCAGTCAGCGACCTGGCGGATTTCATCGCGTGATCGGCCTCCGCTGCTAGCTCCGGAGCATTCTCCGTTCCGGCCTCCCGCATGGGATTCGGAGTTTCCGAAAATTAAGGTTACCTTATTTTGGGGTCCTTATAATAAGGATCCTACTGTGTAGAGTGCTATATTAGGATCCCCCCTTTTGAAGGGGGTTCTGGGCCAGGGCTTAAGGCTAATGCTTAGGGCCTAGGGGGCGCCGGTCTGCAATCCTGACCTTCTCTGCAGTCAGCAGGGACTGCAGCTTCTCCTCAGCATTTTCGAGGGCCCTCGTAGCTTTCGACCTTGCAGGACATGTACACCAGAAGCTTCCATGTTTTGGGTGCTTACGTTTCAAGGGGCTCCCAAAGCTGGGTGGGGTAATTCCCCCCCAAAAAAATATGTGTCATTGGCCCTATGTGACGGATCCTGCATCCGACCTTTCTGCATCCCACATTTTGAGGCCCTCGAACGTTTTCAACAATGAAACTGACCCTTACCCCTTACCGTTCAGACCTAAAATCCCAGAAGTACCCTTCACGAAACCCTAGTATTGTTGTCATTTTATTGCTATCACGAACTATCCGGACCCTGGGCCCTAAACCCTAAGAATAGCCCAGGGGCAAGTCGACCCGGAGTTGCATCGCTTGCTCATCTTCCTCCGGGCGCCACATGCCGGGGCTGGCGGATGAAGGTTTAGTAGAGACTGTAGAGTTTAGGGTGTACTGGTAGTGAGAGAATTAAAGATTGCAATGACATCTTGTCATCCCTACGCAATGCCACGAATATACCGTAATGCCACGAATATACCAAGCCATGTTCGGACTGTTAAGGCCCTTGTGATCAGTCTACCGCACGTAGAATCCCACATGCCACGTTCGCCATCCCCAAGATGGTTAGATAACGGTAGAGCTTCGCATGATGTCCATGCACTTTTCTATCGATCTATCTGTATCTCTCTACCTGTGTCTACCTGTACATGTTGCTGTTATTTACGTAACCTATGTGCATTTGCTTTGTGATTCTGATTTCCGGGCTCCTCGGGGCTCGTGGGCTCCAACTTCGGCTGCTGCAAGACGAGGACTTTGGCTTGGCCCAAGACCTGCGCCAGGCTACCTCGGCAGGATAGCCCTAAGGGTCCATGTACCCATATAGAGATACATGGGCCCCAAAGTACCTATATAGGGACTACATTCAGGCTCCGGAGTCTAGGCCTTTCGGCTGGGCTGCGGCCTTTGGTAGGGCAGGCTCCGGATGTTCGGGCTTTCGACCGATTCCGTCCACGGCCTACTGTCGGGCTCCGTGGCTTAAGGCTTAGCTTTTGTGCGCAGGTTCTTGGGCCTGGAGAATTTCCGGCTTGAGGGCAGGCTCTTGAGGGTTTAGAGTTTAGGGTTTAGGATGTTGGTAGCCCTTGGATGTGGCGGGGCAGGGTGCGTTTGCCTGTGCCTTGTTTTCGGGGTCCATAAGTTGGGCTACTTTGGACGCTGCTCGGTGCACTCAAATTGCAGTTCCATGTTCTCCGAGCATGTTTCCGGGAGTAAAGTTTCTGGGTTTTGCATTTTACGGCAATTATTGAACTTTGCCACGGGGTTGAGGACTAGGTAGTTTCGAGTTGAAGGCTTTCGTGATACAGGTCATGTCGGCACTAGGGACTCTAGAGTTTCAAGTTTGTTGGCCTTGAAGCTGGCGTTTGTCAACGTTTGCGGCATCACAATAGAAAAGGGCTGCTGCATGCTCAATCCGCAAAGTGCTAAGTCAAGCCAAGTCCACCATGGGAAAACCTTGCACACAGCCGAGCCTTACCCAGAACTGTGCACATGAACCGACTTGAATCTGATACCCGTATAAATCAAACCTAGACCTGGTGCCCAAGCGCTGGACAGCCAGCCCCAAGGAACCCAAGAAGTTGACTCGGCACCCCTAAAAATTAAACCCCCAACCCTAAAAGACTCAACCGCAGCATCATGACACGAAACCTTTCAGGGCACCCGAAACTTAAAACGCAAACCCTTAACTCATAAGACTCCACATCTCACTACGGAAGCCTTATAGGAGCCCGGCTAGAGATCCATGATCCTAATCCTTTCAAGACCCCTGTCGAAAGCCGTAAACCCGCCCATTCAGAGGCCTTGGGTTCCTCAACCCCAAATCCTGTGGCAAGAGTCTCTGCACAGAGCGCATGCGAGGTGTGAGCTTCCTGGGAGAACGGAACAGGGGGTTTGCAGGTTTGTAGGGGTTTAGGGGTGAGGGTTTATGCAGGCTTGGGACAATCCAGAAGCGAATCACTTGTGGATCAACTACATAAAGCATGACGGCTCAAAGGATCTAAAGAGATCTGTACTGTCTCCAGAGCACATCAAAATCCTCTAACATACAAGGACTAGGCATTGAAACACTATCACAGGACGCCACAGGGTGAGGGTTTAAGGTTTTAGGGGTTGTATAGGGTTCCGCGAAGGACTGCTTAAGGGTTCTACACGGTGTACACAATGTGCGGGGCCTGAATAATTGGAATAATGTTTCGGTGTTTGCTAAACGATGCTTAAACTATGGCACCTGCACGACTATATTGGACCTCCATATTTAAGGGTTTCGACGCTTACACGCAAACTCTGGCCACGAGAGGTATATGTCCCCAGGTGGAAAGCCGGTTAAGAGGTTTTCTTTGGCAGGCCATCATGTCGGTGTTCGGCTTGTGTTGCCTCCTGCACTGCCGAACATTGCCGAGCATCTTTCCCTCCTACCTAGCAAGGACGAAGCTCGCATTGCAGGGAATCCCGGCCGAACAGCCGGAACCAGCTCTGCTGAGCATTCCCTAAACCTACGGGCTTCCAAAAGTCAGATTCTTCAGGGGTCTGCTTCTGGAGGTCGGCTTGCAGACTTTCGGGCAATACAGTGGCCCGAATGATAAGAATAGGGTTTTGGGGTATACTGTGCTGTACATTTAAATGAGGAATCTTAGGAATAATCTTCCACCGCGATTTCAGTATTCGGTCTTGTGCAGCCGCCAAACCCTAAGTCAAGAAGATTGCCCCTAGGCCCCAGATGTAGTCAGGTAAGAGTTTGTGTACATTCTAGCATAAATACACACAAAGTGCAAGGAGATACTGATTGGTAATCCGCCCTACTTTATGATTTCTGGGAACATGCAGCAGGCAAACAGCGAAACACGCAAGAGAGCGCCAGGCGCAAACATGTCACATGTCAGGTCCGATGAAATGGCTAGACGCGAATCCATACCCTTCCAAATTGTAAATAAACTCCAAGAAGGGCCTGAACCTCAATACCTAAAACCCGTAGGTCCTAAACCTCATTTTAAACCCTAAACCTCTAAAGGCCCGAACCCCTAAACTCAAAACCCGCAAACCCCAGACGCCGGGCGTTTATTCCAGGCTGAGCTTCGAGAGCTCCGGGAGGATCTCTCGGGAATGCCGCCTGGCATCCACGATGTCTGCAGCCAAGGACTGATGCACCTGTACTACAGGAGCCGGAATAGCGAATAGGGCTTTGGGAAGCTTGTAGCGCAACCCCAAAACACAAAGGAACAAAGGTAACAACATCTGTAACCTTCTGTAACTATATCGACCCCTACCTGACCCCTATGTTACTCCAAGGTTTGTCTGGTGGTGGTCTGGGTTCGGGATTTTAGGGCTTTCGGAGGTTGGCAGGTTTCGGATAAGTCCACGGGTAAGTGCGAGTAGGGTTGCCCTAGTGCCTCCTTCATCAAGTTTCTATGAGGTCTTCTGGGCTCCAGAAGGATGAACTGATCCGCCGCCATTTATTAATTTCAACATACGTCATACTGCCTTGCGGTTCCCTCCAGGACAGCCTTGCTGCGCGAGGTTCCAGCGATTTGCATTTACTCAAGAGTAGGAGGACCACGCGGTCAGACTGTCGGAAACAACTCCTGTTTGGGAACCTAATTGCGGCCCTTTCTGCGGCAATGCTGTGAGGAGTTCCTTTTCGGCTTCACTCCCTCTTGAAACTGATACTGAAACCCACACAGCCCCTTCCTTTTTTCCTAGGACCGTCATCTGTGCTCCTTGTCAGGTTCCATGGCAGTTGCAAGGAAGGTAAACCCGGGGCCCACCATGAAGCCTCCAGCAGTGAATCCAGCTGAGCTTGCACCGACTCTACGACAGTCTTGGCCACATCTGCAGGCACTTCGCCTGGTGATGAGAAGGGCTCATGGCTAAAGCTTATGGGGGAGTTTGGGTCGAGTTCATCTGTAGTCTCCATTGTAGTTCCCTTTTTTGGTTTAGTAACCAGCTTTACCATTAGAATCCTATAAGCTAGCCCTAAAAGAGCAAGAATGGAGACTGTAGATTTAGAGCACGCCCTCGATCCTACCCCTCAAGGGCTTAAAGCTCACGTGTGGGAAAGGATAAACTGGCTTCGAACCTCCGAAACTGACTTGACTTACTTATGACGCCTTATGGGCTTAGCGGACTTGCTACTACAGAGACGCGTCTAGTCACTCTGCGCTTTGTGCTGACGGCTTCAGGCTTCAGGAACCTCTACCTTTCGCGCGAACCCTGGAGGACCTGCACATCAAGCCGGCCCTAACAACACAACGCCAGAAAGGTCGAAGACCCCGCACCTGCACATCAAGCCTTAAGCCAGAAACGATATCCCTAGATTTTGCCAGGACTTAAACACCTCTGCCGATACAGAACATGAAGCTCAAACCACACCAGCTGGACAATTGCTATCTTTGCTGGACTGTTCAATCTGCAATTCAAACCACCAGGGGTCGGCTTCTCCGCCCTGTCCCCGGTTGCGCCCTCTCCCTTTTATTCTGAGTGAAGAACACCCAGGACACAGAACGCTTTTGAGTTTACGTCTCACCCTTCAACCTTGTTTTCTGTTCCCTACACATCCCTCAGCCCTATACCTATAACCCAAAAAGCCTAAACACCCCCAAACCCGAACACTAAATTCGAAGATGAGAGGGTCCTGCCTTCAAGCATGGCAGTAGCAGTTTCCAGGACCTGTCAGGGTCATTCCTTCACCACTCCATTCAAGTTACGCGGTCTTTAACACTTGATCAACATCGCCTTTGGAATGTCTTGTTGAAATGTTGGAGCTCAGGGCTTTTATCGTATAAACCCTTAACCCTAAACCCTAAGCCCTAAGGCCTAAACCCTGAGCCCTAAACCCTAAACCCTAAACCCAAGCCCAAAAGCCTAAGCCCCGAAGACCCGATTTCTCCGGCAGTGCCTCTGTGGCCTCGGCTTCCACCAAAGCCACCTGCTGTTTAGGGCTCCCGACTAGGGTTTAGGGCTCAGGGTTTAGGGTTTTAGGGTTTTAGGGTTTAGGGTTTAGGGCTCAGGGTTTTAGGGTTTAGGGTTTAGGGTTTTTCTTCCCTCCTAGCAAGGACGAAGCCCGCATTGCAGGGTGTCTTGGTTGAACTGCTGAACAGGCTGTTCAACCGACTAGGGTTTAGGGCTCAGGTTTTTTTTGACACTCACACTCGGACAAAGCCTGGCAAGGTCTGTAGCAATCTTGGTCCTTCGTTAACTACACTTGGCACTTCTCACCAAGCAGTCAGATAACAAGCACACCGACCGATGTTAGTCCTATAGTACTTGTTTGCTGTCAAGCACCACATATAACACGCCACCAACAGCTACACAAACATAGACTCTGCGATGTTGACAGCAGACCACCTTCAGGACAAACGTCTATAGACCCGACACCAGGTTTTAGGGTTTATAGTTTAGAGTTCAGGGATAGATCCCTTCAAGGAACCCTCATAGATGGCCGCGGAACTCAGCTTTAGGCTTCAGGGAACCTTAAGAGTTCGCAGCGGAGGTGAGGGAGCGTTGCAAGGTTCTAGGCGGTGTTCTAAAACTTGTCGGGACCATTTTGCGCGTCTTGATTAGGGCTTGGGGTTGTTAGACAACGGGTCAAGCCAGTCAAACCTCGACATCAACATAGCTTGGAGAATATGGAACTTTGGGATTTCGCTGTTATTTAGAGGTCTTTTGCGGGCTTTGGGCGTCTGGATTTCTGCCCTTTAGACCCTTACTACCGGGACCCTGCTCCTGTAGTGAAGGCCTGACTTGATTCAACGTGTAGGTCGGGCCCCTGTCATTTTCTGAAACTCTCCGGGGGTCAGGCTCAGAGCCTCGGGAAGCAATGAAATGATATTGCATCTGTTGGGAGAGCTGCAAGTGCGAGAACAGCCTGCTTGCCTCCTTATAAGACTTACGTTATGACCCTAAACCCCAAAGCCAGACCCCCAAAGCCGAGACCCCTACACACGAGAGTTTCTGTGTGGTTCCCAAATGTTCGCGTCACGACTTCCTAGATGTGCCTGATCCCTGGCCACAAGGAGTTGCTCCTGCTGCTCCTCGGACGGGGCTTGCTCCAGCTCCTCTTCCTGGCGAGGATTCTAGCTCTGAGGGGAAACCCTAAACCCGGCTTAAGGCTGAAGGATTTTTTCCCTCCTACCTAGCAAGGACGAAGCCCGCATTGCAGGCTGAAGGATTGCAATTTAGGGTTTTTTTTCGGGTCTCAGGGTGAGTTGCATGGAGTATGGGGGTTGTGGGCTCGGAAGTTGCGAGGTTCGGTTTCTGGTTCAGGGCTGAAGGATGCCGAGGCTTCCAAGCCCTTCGGCTGAGTTTGGGAAACTCGAAGCTATGCTGGCCTCAGGCCTGGCGGGCCAGGGCAACATACAGCACCATAGGGGGCTTATTTCTCATAATTGGAACAGGGTTTTGGTGCCACTATTCTATACTGATAATAAGGAACGCCAACATATAGTATAGGAAAATTATGAAGGCCCCCCTATAGCACTTGAATCCAATGCCTTACAGTTTTGGGGCTTCTTCCCGTAGGCTTAAGTTCGCTGGGGCACTTATACTTTCGAGCGACCGAAGCGGTTGCCTGTATGTTTCCATGGCTCTGTGGCTCATGCCCAAAACTTCCTCTTTAAAGCCGATATATACAGAAGGAGACATGAAAGCCCTTGGCCTTAAGGGAGCCCTGAAAGGCCCTGAAAGGGACCCCTTGAAGCACGAAGCTGAGGTCCTCCTTCACCTCTTCTTTGGTGGCAGTCCGGGCCGCACGACGAGTCACCTGCCAGCGCTACACCGAAAGAGAAGAACAAAGTTTTTGCTAGCGCATGGATTACTGTCGTGCGTTTTTGCTGTTTTCGGGGTCTTGGCGCTTTTGCTGTTCTCGGGGTCTTGGGGTCTTGCGGGGGGGCTGATAACGTCCACTTTGCCACCGTCATCATGATCATCTTCATCATTGTCATCATCATCGTCATCATCACGGCATGGACATCGCTTACGTTCCGGTACGAGTCATCCCCACATGAGGCTAGAGCTTGAGGGTCTCTTTTGAATCTAATTCGTGTGCAGCAGCAGCCAGGTTCGGCGTTTTTGGGGTTGAGACAACTCTCGCAGAAGCATCACGTGTACTGACACACGTTCGGAGGCATGCTAGAAGCTAGAGACAGGACAGAACCTGCTTGCAAAGACTGCTGCGCAACTGAAGGACCTGAGCTCCTGAACAGCTGAGCATGTCATGTGTGCGAAGACATCTGCAAACTCCTTCAAGCATCTTCCGAATAGGACCCCCACACAACTACGCAGTGCCCCAGCAAAAGAAACGACCCCAAACATGAATTCGGCCCCCGCCGAAAACAGCTACTTCTAATCCTGAAAGCCGCCAAAGCCTTAAATACCGAGGAATTCCTGACCTGTAGTGTCCGATGCGGCATTTATTTCTTGGTTGCCCAAAATCGCGCTGAAACCACACGTTTCCTAGCCTTGAAGAACAACGTAACACTTCTTTTAATACCAAACAGCTTGAAATGTGCTTAAAAACTGTGGTGGGAACACTACTTCACCACAAAAACCATGCCGCGGGATGTGTTTGCTTTGTGCGGTTTTTGTGTCTGAGAGGGCATTTAATTTCACGATTTTCGGGAATGAGTTGACAGATGGAGGTGATGGAGGAAGCATGCATGCAGCATGGACAAAGGAATTGACCGATGAGAGGATTCTAAGTGTCGGGGTGCTGACTACCTCCCTGCTCCCTTCGCTTTCGGGACATTCGCATTTTTCAGCTGTACGATGATCTTTCCGGGACAATACATGAATAGAAGTATTTTACTGTTTTCTATTATACAACATTCAGACCCTCTTCCATCCTTTCCTCGTCAAAGGACCACCCTGACCCGCGGGAGTATCTAGAAAGTAGATCCCCCAATTTGGGGGCCCTATGACTACTATGGGTACTTCTACTTTCTGGATCCTCCAAAGGGGGTCTGGGTAAGAACCAAACCAACAGAGGCGGCCTCAAGGTGTTCGTTGATGGTGCCTAGCTCATTGTTGGGATAGGATTAAAAAATGTACATTGTTCTTCCTTATTGGGTTTTAATACTCATAAAGATGTAAAGTGTTACCCAACTATCACCAAGGTGCCATCCCAGGGGATGCGCCAGCCCCTGCTCGGAGGGAGCATCTCGTCCGCTTCGCAGCGGCTCCACACCTAAAGGTTGAAGTTTAGGGCTCAGGGGCTTATAGGGTTTTGAGGATCAAGAAGGTTTAGAATATACTACCTTACATTCTGCAAGACTATATTCGACTCGAAAAAAAGGTCTACTTCTCTTGAATTCAATATATCTATAGTATGCTATATAATTAATACGGCTCCAATACCCGCGTGAAGGATCAAGAAGGTTTGGGGAGGCTCATATAACTTACAGCCTTTAGATTTTTGAGGTTTGGGTTGGGGGCTCACGCCTTCTGGATGAGCTTGGGTTGAATGTTTTTGTCTGGCCCCATCGGGCCTGTCGGGATTCATAACCAACGTGGCCAGCGCGTTCAGGGCTTGGAGCCTAGGGACTTAGCGAGAAGGCCTCTTATTATATGGACCCCAAATAAGGTACCCCAATTTTCGGAAACTCCCGCATCGCAAGCCACGACAAGCAATGACGGCATAGAGCCACATCCTCTTCCAGATTTCGCGCTGTAGTTAGACCGCTTGGTGCGCGCGCATGAGTCCGCGCATGGCACCATCTCGTGATGTCATCTATATATATATATATATATATATATATATTATATATATATATATATATATATATATATATATATATGTATTTATATTTATATGTATTTATATTTATTTATTTGTTTATTTATTTATGTATTTGTGTATTTATATATATATACACACACACACACACTGTATGTATACATACACAAAACAATGTATGTATAATCGTATGTATATATATATATATATATATACATATATATATATATATATATATACATAAACTCTTGTGTATACAACCTGTGTGTCTACAAACAAACTTGAAAGGTGCATGTGTGTGTATATATATGCGTGTCGTACTGCTTCTCGCCTGCCCTGCTCTAGTCACGATGCGACAGCTGAAAAGTGTGACTCTCCACGCCGAGATCTCGAAGCAGACACCCCCAGCTTGGGTCTAAAGAATTCAGGGTTAGGTTTGTGTGTTTTGAGTTTGGCTTCGGGACTTAGGGCAGAAATTCACAGGCTATAGCCAGGGTTTAGCTTCTGGGCGACCCGTCACCATGCAGCCAAACTCATCTGACAGCTAAAGTGCAACGAAGCCCTGAAATTGAAGAACAACGCAGCAGATCTCGGGCGAAAGACGAGAGAGGCACCCACCGACTGCCCAAGCCACCTGAAGGCAAAGAGCCGGACAGACAGCTGTATGCTATCAAGACGCCGTGGACGTTCCACTGGTGCTTGGATGTGTGTTGGATACTGTACAGATTTGCAAAGGAACTGTAGTAACTGTAGCACTGTAGCACTGCGACTAGTTACCTGTAGTCCTTACTGTACAAGGTCTCAGCCACTGGAACCACCTTTCGAAGCTCTGACAAGTCCTTCGTGCTTTGACGTGAAAAAGCTTCATGCCCTGGTTCAGGAAGCCGCATCCCTTAAACACAGGATCAAAAAGGCTAAATGCCTCATAAAGCGAGACTTGAAAGTGGTCCACCAACATATAGAAGAGCCGACTCCAATGATGGTAAGATCTCCGACTTCATCCCTGAAACCCCAAAGTCCCAAACCCAGAATCCTATCCTAAACCCTGAACCCCAATATTCAAGTCTATATACCTATACCCTCACTTACAGAATCTCTCCATTTCTTCCAGGATGCCAGCCAGCAAAGTCTGGGCCATCGCGCGAGTCCCAGAAATAGAGATAGATCTCCTTTCGGTTTTATGTAGGGGCCTCGATAATTGGAATAGGTTTCAGCACTCACTCTCGGACGTACCACAGCAAGTGGAATAGGTTTAGGGTTTAGGGTTTAAGGATAGGACTGTGGGGGTTCACTATAATAACCGAAACCATAGTATAACATGCCCCCAAACCCTAGTCTAGTTATCAAGGCCCCTACATTACGCTTCCCGGTTCCAGGCTCAGGGCTCGGAGCTCTAAGGTAGAGGCGGCAGGTGGCAGCACTGTAGTTACGGATTTCCTGGGTCTACGAATAATAACAACAACGGGCACCAAAGAATAGTCAACATCATCCCTATCGTTGTCATCAACACACTGATCACTGGCACGGCATTAAAGAATCAGAATGCTTGGTAGTAACCATAGAAACAAATACACGATACCTATGATGACACTCCCGAAACCTTCTTTATGCTGGTAGCAACACTGAAAAGAGACCAGTCACTAGAACACATCGTTGCCCAGAACCCTAAACCCTAAACCCGCAGGTTACCCAAACAAGGCGAATTTTGGCGTTTCGGCGCTCATTCTCGGAGCCAGGCTCAGGTTTTAAGCTGTCCGGCCTAGTTAGGGGCTCTGGGCTTTTGGGCATAGTGGAATTAGGATAATGATAAGAACCCCTCGGAATAGCACTAGCTACTGATCGTGTTCAGGATTCTTTATTGTGCCCTCACATTCGGCCCGGCTAGCCTAGTGAGCTTCGGGTTGTGGGTCGTCTTCTGGATCCTTTCTTCCTTTTGCATAAATGTGCCTATGGTCATTGTCCGTAGCCTGGCTGCGACTCCGTAATTGTCACTGGCAGTTCAGGCTTGTCATGCGTATCCCTCATTCGAGTTACTATCTCCCTAGATCGTGTTCCGAGAAGTTCAGGACCACAGGTCCATGGCTTCGACCACCTCCCAGAACCCGGCCCCAGGGTGAGATGGGTAATGTGCTGAGTGTTGATGTTATAGAACAGCGGCACGGTAGCCGTCGAAAACCTCGACCCTAAAATGTCAACCCTAGATCCCTAGGTCCTACACCTAGGCTCTTCGGCCAGGGTCGCAGATTTAGGGTTCGTGGCCGAAGTCATGACGAGACTGTCGCGTCTTGGTAGTCCGAGACGTTTGCTTACGAGACTGAAGGCGTACTTTCTCACTGTGAAGGATCCAGTTTTGGGAGACAAAACACATGCCATGAAGCGCGGTGTGAAGACACTGTCGGACTCCTACACACGAAGATAAGGAATACTTTCAGGTTTGGGTCTAGAATCCGCTTCAGCCCGGCACTCAGCCGATTTGTGGAGATATTTCCTAAGCACCGTACTAAACTGGGCACCTCCCAGCGCCCTCGCGTGTAAGGTTGAGCAGCTTTTAGTCTCGGGGCAGGTTCTTCGGCTGATGATATAAATCCAGCATTACCCATTTTCAGGATACACCATAATTCCCATAGTTTAGGGTCCTTAAGGTAATGCAGGATTCATATTATCAACCGCCTTGTATGGTACTGAAGAGCGCTTGAAAAACACGGAATAAAGAACATAGCAAGCAGATGCAAGCAGTAGAAGTTCTGGGGAAGCATGGTGTCGACCTACTTGTTGCCCATAATGGCATTTCCGGCCTCATCCTCTTCTGAAGGCGGTCGGCGGCAAAACACGGGTTTGCCGTGATTACGTCCACCTGCCGATGCAGCCGCTGCTGTACTTCTCAACGGCATGAAGCAGATCTAGGGCTTAGGTGACTTTCCCCGTTGAGTTTTGATGGTCGCAAGGCTTAGTTGCGGTTGAACCGTCTTCTCACGGCGCGGATGCCTTTCGGTGCACTTAGTTGCACTTGAGGCGAAAGGTCACTTGAAGGCTTCGTGACCTGCGGACATTTATTATTGCCTCTTGAAGGATTTTACATCTATAGCTCTTAAGTCGAAGTAAGGAAGCGGTAAGTGGCGTCGGCCCCTCCTGCTTCAACAGTCCGATAGCATCAGGCCTGTCTCTACGTACTCGCCAACCAAGGTCTTGAGTTCCGGCTCGTCTACAGCGGTGGAGGTCACCACGAAGACGTCCTTGGCTGGTTTTCTATAAATGGTTCAGTTTTTTTTGGTCTACCGGCTTAAGGTTGCATTGGGGTTTGCTACAATGTTCTGTCTAAATGCGCATCAGTATCAACTGCTTTCTTACTGCTTAGATGAGGCTGGCAAAGGGCGGGCCTCCAGGATTTTCCCAGAGCAAACTGAGCAACTAAAGGTGGACTTGCAAATCGCCAGGGGGGGCGCAAGTAGATAAGACAGCCTTGAACGTACCGAAGTTCAAGCATGTCGGGTGATATCTTCTCAACGGCCTCGCCGGACAGCGTGCTGCCACGTCCTGGCATGTCTGTCCTGCGAGTTCATGTTCATGCCGGTCGGGGCCTAGTCAGGTACGGTATGTCCACAATCGCCCTTCTGCTTGAGGTCAGCAGCCACGGTCCAACGGCCGGGTCACATCACGTTGCATGCGTGACCTTAACATCTACTACGGAGCTCACGCCGTGAGCTCGGTAGCAGATGCAGACATAGATATGGCGGATCAAAGCGCCTTGAAACCTATAACTATACAAACTCAAGCCCGCAAACCGGCGGATGGGAAAGCCCATGGCCGTCGCAGTTCGGATCTTGGACGCCGCTCTTCCGTAGAAGCGATGCGGACCTGACTGCCTGTCTACTCCGATCCCTGCGATGTGCCCATGGGTTTTAGGGCCTCATATAGAAGTCGGAATACTTAGAAGAGGGGTTTTGAAGTGTATTATTAAGAAGGAACCTTAAGACATAGCAACTCAGGCTTCTCCCTTCGGAGGTGGAGGAATTATTCAGGCCCCCATATTACAAGTAAAGCCTGTCTCACTCTTTTCAAGCCCACGATCTGCAGCATTAAACCCTCAAGCACCCTCGAAACTGGAGAAAAAAGGAGGAATAACCTAAACTAGAGTTCGATTCAATAAATGCCATATGTAATGTTATACTTTCTTATCAGAAAAATTGGAAGACACTCAGCTCTACACTCTACCACCCTACATCCTGATCCCGCGACCTGACGCCCTACACTCAACACTGCACGCCCATCTACACCCTCACTCCGGCGGTTTAGGGAGTGCGCTACAAACCCCTCGCCCTGAACGAAGAGCTGCAATCTCTCAACACGTGCTAGACCCGCAATCCTGTGCTCCACACCCTCGGTGCTAAACCCAAGCGGCCGGAGGCGTCTTCGGCGCCATCTCAAGTCTGAAGACACTCACTGTTCGATGACTTTGTATTCTTACAAGTACTATTGTTACTCTATAGTCTCATGATTTTTTGAGGAGAGCTTGGCGGGGGTCCGTGTTCCTGAGGTATCGGGTTCAGGGTGAAGGAGTCGCAGGGTGCGGGGGTTACGGCCCAGAAGTTGCAGCTTTGTTGGGAGTTGGGGTCTGAAACAAAGAGAGTGAATGTAAGCTTAAAGGCTTAAAGCCGTACGTAGAGGTTGAACATGAAGTTTTCCTCGTCCGGGCCGAGGTTTGAGCTAGGTTCCCCGAGCAGTTCGAGCCAAGCGAGCCACGGTGAAGATTTCAAAGTGGGCTGGGTTGGGGGGGGAACTTATGACACTTCGAGTTGGGCTTGCTCATCGTCGTTGAGCGAAATGTGCAAAGCCGGCACAGAGACATTTGGAAGATGTGTGAAACACCTTCTGCACAGACACAATCACGACATCATACGTGTGTACTAGTACAGACTTAACTTTCGCAGCACACAGCATCGTGGCTCTTGTTACGGGCACCCGTCCAGAGCTTGAAGGTCTTGAATCCGGAGTAACGCATGCTGTGATTCTGCAAAACTTGCTTGAGGGGCTGCTCCCAGCAACTCCGAATGGTGGTCTCTGTTGTAATGACAGATACCTGACTCCGCCTACTTGCGATTACCGCGTGATCGCAGAATTGAATTTGGCTTAACAGGAGTCAGACGGAGTAACAACCGCTCGTCGCAAGCCGATGGCGACGAAGCCCTACAACCTCCAGCCATGAAGGCTTCGAAAGAGTCTACTTAAGGGGCTTTTAAGGATAGGAACGTCCCAACCCCGAAACTTTCAAAAGCCGGCAAAGCCCAAAATCCCCCAAAACTAAATCCTGCTTTCAAGCCCTGCCCCTCATGGAATCCTTTTCTACTCCACGCGGCTTCTGTAACTCGGCTGCGTTCATGCGCCTGCTGTTGGGGCCTTCGGGCAAGCCGAGAGTTTCGACCTTTCCGCCCACGGCCTCGAGGAGTTGCTGAAAGGTCTCACCGATGGCTCTGGGGGGCATGGCCTTAGCTGCTCATGTCATAATCCAAAGGATTGAATTTTCAGGTTTAAAGGGAAGTTGGGAAGTTCATGAGCTCAAAGAGCTTAAAGCCTGCCGACTCAGTTACTAAGAGGCCTGTAGCATGCCTTCGACGCTTTTGGACGCAACGGCCCTGTCTTCCTCGCTGCCGTGCATTTTGCCATCTTCCCACCAGATACCCGGCTTCGGGGGCAGCTTGGCATAGGCATCTGCAGGCCAGTCCTTGGGAACCAAATGTCCCTTGTAACTATAGGGGCCTTTTTCCGGGTATTAAGACTATGAATCTCTAGATGGTAGATAAACCTCAAACCCTACACCCTACACCCTTGTATGATGTGTCCCTATATGGTATATAAGCCTTTAAGGGCTCATTTCGTCCTTAAAGGACGTCCTTGATGAAGATTCGGCAGGCCGGTGGGAGGAGGGGCGGAACTCCCAAGATGTTGCAGAAGTCTGGGAACAGGAGCACCGACTGCCCCACGTAGCCAGGATGCTCGACACAAAGCAGCGCCTTGCAGCAGGAGGCGATCATGTTGGTCGAGCAAGCATCCTCGCGAAGTCGATTGAAGGCGATCTTCTCTCTGCCTGCTTGCGGGGTGTAGAGTTTAGATGACGCCTCTTCTCCATATCCCTGTCTGAAACTGGGGTTTTTTGGCCTCCTACACTAACACATTCCTACGTACATCCGTACATCTATATATATATATATACACCTTTTTTCTAAACACAAACACTTTGTATGTATGTTTATATATACAGTGCATATATATATGTATATACAGTCTCTGTATGCGTGTGCAAAAGCACACGTGGAAATACCGAACCCTGCACCCTGCAAGCTGCCCTTTTGCACATCGAGCTTGTTGTCGAAGTACACGAGGTGCATTGGAAGGCCGGTGCCTTGGCCACTCAGGGTTTTTCTTGACACTCACGCTCGGACAAAGCCTGGCAAGGTCTGCAGCGATACTCAGGGGGTTTAGGGATTGGGGGTTTTGACTCACACACCCGCTCACAGGCAGGCACGGCTTCAGGCAATAAGTCTTTCGAGATGATCCCAGCAGCCCAGCAACACCGAGAAGCAACGGTAGAGCAACCAAAGAAATACAGAGCAGTTCTAAACTTTCCTCGTCCATCCTGCAGCATTGTGACAGACAAGGCTGGCTTCATCCGGGCCGCTTGGCCCACTGCTTTCAAACAAGTTCACGAGTCTGGAACTCAGAGCGGTCAAGGATTGTCCGAGCTTGCTACTTGCACTTCAAGAGGGGCAGATAGCTTCAAACACATCATAACAACACACAAGAGCCAACGGTAAAGCACCCAACCAAAAACGATCGGGGGTTTATGGTTTAGGGGTTTAGTGTATTTCGGGTGCAGGGGTGTAAGGATTGCGTACGCATGGAGACGGAACATGCTTTGAGGTGGTAAAGCGTAGACGACGGAGTGCTCTTCGTTCCCGGGCTTCTGCTGTGTCTAGACCTCTACTTGCGCGGAGACTGAGTAGGCGTACTGAGCAAGCCCATATACACTTCCACGACCTCTTTTTTCAAAAAACCGAAACATGTATGACAGCAGGCATCTGAGACTATAGATGCTTGAGAACTTAAGCACCATTACGTCTGCAAATGCTCACGCCTCAGAAACCAAGTCGCCGTGCACCCCGTATCCAAGGGGATACTCCACACCACCTGCCTCACAGGACCACATATTCCTCGGGGATAGCATGGGTCTCGCGAGTCCGAAATGGCAACCGCCTCATGACGCGTCTACGATGAGCACAGTGCAGCTGCCGATGTGGTACCATGTTGCGGAAATGTAATGCGTAAGTGCCTGAATAGCCACAATTGCAACATTCATACCTACAAGCACTCACCAGGAAGTGGACGCTGTCACTACATCGCAAGTCAGAACATTCCATCTCCTATGCATCCTTGCTGAGACAACTGCTCATACATGGTGCAGCATTCATTGTCAAGCTGGGTCGCTTTAGACCTTACACCCAGCCAAGAAGCTTTTGGTAGCAGTCCACGCAGCAGCACTCCCACGCACACTTTGGCAAGGCCCTGGCCAGTCCTCAGTGGGCTTTCCATGGCCCAGTGACTGGGTGTATAGACATTAATTACAGTATTCATATATATATATACATACATACATACATACATACATACATGTATATATGTATATATGTATATAAGTATGTATGGGTGTATATATAAATATGTAAAAGTAAATACATATATATGTATATATATATATGTTGAAAGGAGCACCCTTCAACATGCGAGACTCCTGACTTCACGGCTGACAGCACCAATGTGCCATCGAGAGTCTGATGACCACAGTGCCGCAGCGGCACTGAATGGATGCCATGTCTCTAGCTGTGTTTCGCCAAGTGCTGGCAGTGGAGCTTCAGGCTCAAGTCCCAACAGTGTAGCGCTAAGGAGGCTGCGTTTGCACTATAAAGATAGGATTTCCGGAAGTGCTGTAAAACCTTCCGCCCGTTTGAAATCTTAGTCATACTTGGGACCACACCGCTTCGCGAGCCCTCGGATGGATATGAATGGAATTGCTTTGTGCCCAGCTTAGGGTTTGAGATGGTTCAGGGCCTTTTTACCTAAACTTTGATCGTGCTTCTTGCTGGTGGTGCAGGCTCAAGAGAATCGTATTCTGCTAGCGCAAGACCGAATTCCAGAAGTTGACTTTGTTGTGGGCTGCATGCAGCGGCGAAGTTGGACGACGAACGTAATTCCCTGCAATGGCAACGACTACTGCTGGCTATCTATATGCAGGCAAACAGACCGCGACTTGTGTGCATGGAAAACAAAAAATGCACAGTAGCTATCATAATGACGAGACAAGTACTTGGATCGCCAATCGCAATGAAGAAGACGAGTAGCCAGGTAACCATGTGTCTACTCGTAGCACTTATGAGAATAACAAAAACACAAAACAAACCTCGGGCAACGCTGCACCTGTGACACCCCGACCATCTCATGCAAGGACAGAAATACTCAGAGTTGTTGTGAAAAGATACTTGGCCAGCAGTTGCAACATACCAACCTGCCGGCTGCATCGATCTTCTTTTGACGCACTGGCTATGCCGCGACAACGCCACCGTTTGTCAATATGTTCTTGCAGCTTGCATATACGGCATACACAGCTTGAGATGTTCACGCCCGCTTGGTCCACGGGCGCTGGGGCGGTTTGTGGCAGGGAACTCAGACGTGATCACTGACCACCTTCAGCATAAATGAAACTTGTGTTCAAACGCAGACCTGGGCCAATCCGATCAATCAGATCTATCCAGAATCCCTTTCACGTGCTCCACCACCGGAAACTCCAATCCGCATTGAAGCCACTCCTCCGAGCGACCTCCTGCAGGGTGTTGAAGATTTACAGTTCAAGGGACCTGGTGCCGAAGCCGTCATCCAGTAGCCACAGCAGCAGTAGCAGCAGTAGCAGTGTAGTAGTCGGAGAGCCAATACATACCAACAGCAACCGCACACCTTACATCAGCAGCATCGGCAGGTGTGCAATCGTAGAAAAATGCAGTAGCAAGCCTAGCTGCTAACAGTGTGAGCACATGTAGCCGCGATTCCGGAAGTCCTTCTGGCGGAGCCCCAAAGGCCAACGCCCAACCAGGCTGCAAGAGCACCTGGCCAGGCTCCCATCTTCGGGCTTATCTTGGATTTCGAGGCTGAGGGTTTAACTGTGTTCTGTGGACGTATTAAACCCGACACTAAGCCCTAACCCCAGAAGCAGCACCTCCTCGCAGCCGAGGTTTTGGATTGACATACGGTTTTGGGTTTCAGAGTTTATTTCACCCCCTCTCAACCCGACGACCGTAGCTCCTACCGAAACCGCCAAAGTAGTAAGGCCCTGCACCTCCCCAAACCTGCAGCACAAAAGGTTTAGGGTTGAGGGTTCTGATGGCCTATAAAGCCCCAAGCCCTAAACCTCTGTAACGCGTAACAGTGCAAAACAGCAAGCTTCTAACACCGGAAAGGAGACCTGGTGGCCAATGTGCTCTTGTAAAGAAAGCCCGTGACGTCCGTATACCGGGTTCTTGTTCAAAGGATTTAGTCTAATTGCCATAATAAAGAAACCATAGTATTCACTACACATCCCTATGATGGTAACTTAAACTAAATTAGATCCCTTGACCACATACACAGACCATAATGGGATACGGGGTACTTATAAATTATGAACCTTAAACCTAATAATTACTTATTATAACTACGTGTTCAGGTCCACACAGTGAAGAGCACCCTATGAAGTCCCAATCCTAAAACTTTTGGCCTGAGGCATCCCAGGGCTCCAGAGAGGATCGAGCTCCATCCAGACCTCACCCGACGCGACAAATCCAGATACCCTATAGAGGAGTAAGTATACATATGAATGAGTTTAAAAAAAAGTATATGCTTTCACATATATATGTATACATATATATATATATGTGTAGATATCTCTCTGTCCTATGAAGGTTTATCGCGGCTTTACACTGCAACGGCTTTTAAAAGGTTTTGGAAATGAAAGGTTTTTACGACATCCAACAGAAGATAAGGGCCTTATATGGTTTGCAAAGCAATATTGCGGTTTTAAAGTGTCTCGAAAGGGTTCTTTTATGGAAGGGGCTGATAGTGCCTGAGGACTCAGAATAGAGACGTCCTTACAGGATTGTTAAATGGGTTCCGTAAGCTCATCACGGGCTTTGCGCTCACGCCCGAAACTCTCAAACCTGAGCCCTAAACCCTAGCCCATGTGAAACTAAACCCAAGACCTACCACCCAAACCCTAAACCGCCCTTAGGAAACAAAACCCGGAAACAGAAATCCTGGTCCTAGGCCCTAGACCCTGTGGAACTCAGCTGACAGCTGGCGGTTCCCTCACCGGTGCCAAGGCACCTCATCATCCAACTCCTCCTGAGTGGGAACACATGGGAGGTCAGAGCAAAAAGATACATAGTAGGATGCTATGCTGCGCAGAAGACCCACAAAAAGGACACCTGCGATGCTACACACGACCAACAAGCACAGGACAGTCAGGCAGCGACGAAGAAGATTTGGAGAAGAGAAGAGACGGAAAGACGCAAGCGACCTAATGTGAACCCTATAAACATGACATAAAAGAAACCTTCGAACACCCTGAACTAAATTCTGGACCCCCCCAAAATCCACAACTCCGAACCCTATGTTATCACTAATCAATTGATACCTCATCCCCGGCCGCGCTTCCTTCAAAGTTGAATCCCAAAGCTCTAAAGCCAAAACAGAGCTCCGTCTTCCCCGTCAGCCGGAGGAGGAGACCCCGCTCCACGCGCAGCCTCTTCACCCCTGTGGTCCCCGGCCGGGGCGCCAAGAAGAGCCTGGGGCGCGTCTTCTGGTGGGATGTACGGGTTTCGGGGGGGGTTTCAAGCCTGGGCCCTGTGATGGAGTCTTGGGGTGTTTGGGTTTTTTCTTTTTTTTAAAAAAATTCTTTTTTACCTGCAGGTAGAGTTAGAATTCCTATATATACTAGGAGGAGCCTGTGGCTGGGGCCTCTGTGAGGAACTGACAGTGACCCCTTCAACCCCCCATCCCCTGAGGCCGGGGTGTTTGGGTTTAGGGTTTTTTCTCTCCTACCTAGCAAGGACGAAGCCCGCATTGCAAGGTTTAGGGTTCAGGGTTTCGAAAGTTGAGGTATTGGGATCTTGTGGTTTCTGGAGGAGCTGGAGCCTTGAGGCTGGGTCCTTCGGGTCTAGAGCTCTTGAGGTCCTGAGGCTTTGGGGCCTGGCAGGTTCTTGAAACCCTAAACCCCTCCAGCCAGGCAAAATCCTGAACCCCATTCAGCCAAGAATGTGATGTTTTGGGCTCCTTCGAGGAGGTTTGGGTCTTGGATACTAATGGGATCAGTTGGTAAGTTAAGGTCGAATCGAGCCTTTTAACAACCGGGGCTCCGCTTCCTATTCTATAGCTAGTTCTCTCATCAGGCCCCTTTTAGGGACCTTTCTGTAAAGGTGGCGTACTACGTATTTTGTGGACCTAAAAAAGGACCCTAATTTAGAGAACTACCCTCATAATTTCGGTCACCCTGCTTACCGCTCCGCATGGTCCTCCGTCTGTCTGCTTTGTGTCTGAGGCAGCAGTTACAAGCTGGAAGAATCACGAGTGTTTTCAGGGCCGCCCGAAAAGTCAGAATCGGGGCTTTGGTGTATATACCCGAGTATACTTACAGGAAGAAGCTCTAAGACGTACTGTTGGCAACTCTTCAAGCGTGTATGTCACGCCACTCCGGTCTTTTTGTGGTTTAGCAGAAATCTTGCAGGTTCACGACTGTCCCTTGAGAGAGTGAATGGTGGGAGGCTTTGAAAGTTTGTGCTTCAAGGTCTCGGTGGAAGGTATTCAGAGGTTCCGGGCGTAAGGAGGTTGTTCAAGGTTCCAGCTTCACGGCTTCGGAATGGAAACAAGGCTTCGGAGGCCCCAGGATGCTGACGGCTATGGGTAGAGGCTGTTGGAGTTCAGGGTCATAAGGGCCATGACATGCACGTCCGGTCTCAGCTGGGCAGCCAGTGCAGATTGCAAACTCCTCTGCAAGGCATTGGCAATTTTTGTTATCACCGACATGCTCACGACTCTCAGCTCTGGGCTTCATGCCGTTTGTGTTCTTGCTTCTGCTGTCGCTGCTTCCTTCCGGCTGTGCCCGGTACTCCATGTGGCGCTGACCGTGTCTGGAGTCCAGACACGGTCTATGCGATATAGAGTACCGGACAAAGCACGCACGATCTGCTTGGGCTCTGAAGCTGCTCCTTCTTGTTACAACTTACAACTAGCGGCGTAATCAGAGAGTCGAACTCTAAACTCAATTCTCTCAACATCCCCAAACGTAAGGCCCTTAGGCCGAACAAAAGGCCCGAAGCCCAAGCCCCCTCCCTCTTTCAACAAAAACCTCGTGGGCCTTGGTCAGGGTTTTGGCGGGCCTGTTCAGAGTTTACGCTCTCGCATCTCGGACAAGCCTGACGAGGTCTCTGGCACTGTGTGCTTTGACGGTCGGTGCTATTGAAACTAGACTGTTCAGAGTTTAGGGTTTAGGGGTTTAGGGTTTAAAATGAGACCAAGCCAACAACTCGGTCCTGCATAGGGCCACATGCCCTTGCGGTGGATCCCCTCGTCGCGGGCGGAAAAGAAGCCCAGGACGAACTGCTCGAGCTTCCCCTCACAAGGTCTTTGCTTGAAAGTCGGAGGGTTTCAACCTCCGAAGCCTGAACTCCCAACCTGCCACCAATCAAAGCCTACGATAGCGGCCTTAACCGTTAGAATAATAAGGCTTGGGATGTGCTCCTTGAGGGATACTACATTCTGAAGTTGATCAGGCCCCTGCTATTTCGAGCACGGTTTTGGGCAGTACAGTGTCTTTGTAACAACAGCAAGAATATCAACAAACTGGTATGCTGCTATACTCAGGCCGCCAGCTGCCACAGAGCAAGGTCAAGCAGGAATATGAGGGCACATTTGACTAGGGTTCCACTGGGACTTAGTTCGACCCCTACATAAAGGCTGCGTTATCTTGGGTGTTGGGTTTGGGCTTCGGCTTTGGGGCCAGGGGTTTAGGGCTCCGATTATCTTAGGGCTCGGAGTTTAAGCTTTCACATGCTTAAATGTTTGGGGCTGTTTGACCCTCACACTCTGACAAAGACAAGCAACGTCTGCAGGCGATGGGGTTTAGGGTTTTTAGATTTATATAAGGCGCCCGCAACAAATCTTAGCGTAAAGACCATATACAACCCTACATACCCAACACTCTACAGCCCATAACAACCTTCTAACCTCGACCCTCGAAAACATCCCTGAGCTTTCCAAGAAAGGCAATGGCTGCCTGAGATGGACGCGAGGCTTCGAAGGGCTCGGTGGTGTCTGAGAGCCTGCAGCCCAGGCGCAAGAGAGAACTAGAAAGGGTTCCTTTCAGGGTTCTTCAATTTCGCATGGTTCTGTACTTCAAGGGTTTAGGCGGTTTAGGGGTGAAGAGGCGTTTTGACAGTTAGAATGTAATTTTCGGGTATGTTCATGGTCAGCTTCTATAAGAACTACAAGTGGGGCACCATTTCTGATCATTTAGACCACGATACGAGTAGTAAGTAGTACAGCAGCACGGAGGAGTCAGGGAATGTGTCTCTTTTTGTTTCTGCAACTTCTTCCGCCTGACTTATCTGTCTGAGCTCAGGGATTTAGGGTTTAGGGTTTGGGGTTCGGGCTTTTGGGTTTAGGATTTATTTAGGAGGGGTTGGGCTTGGCTTCAGGGCTAAGGGGCTTCAGGTTTCGGCTACATGGTTTTTGGAACCTAGAAGCTGCGTCGCAGTACGGGTTACTCGCGATTTGGGGTGACCGTTGACCAGCTAGAGCACTACTGATAAACCTACAATAAACCTACATACTTACTATGTATCCTGCAAGACCAATTTCCGGAGATCAGAGGTGCTATGCAACTTCTTCGGGGCCCGGAAAACTCGCAGCATTCCGTGGGTGGGGTGTGCAGAACAGGGAGAATCCCATGCTAAAAAAATGCAAAGCCCAAATCAACGAGATCGATGGTAAGGATCCGTTCCCCTGGACATGCAATGGTCCTGATCACTACTGTGAGCTCCTGGCAGAGCCGAGACGGAAGGCTCTGCATAACGATCCCACTTCAATTGCGCAGCAAGCTACAGGAGCTTTGCAAGGATATCGTACTCTTCGTCTGCGAGGTTGGCATTGGACGCCTCGGAGTAGATAATGCGGCTTTGCTTCGCACTTCAGGCTCCAAGATTTGGAGTTTGGATAGGCCTGCGGACTCCGGAGGTTAATGCGGAAAGCAGGCTTTGCCGCGGATGCAGGAGTTCAGGTCAGTGCTGGCAGCTCCGACATGTGAAACCTAATCCTCGAACACAGGAAGATACAGCCACCATCCTCGTGCTGGTCACTGTGCTACCGTCGCATTGACACACTTCAACTGAACATGGTCATGCCCGGAAACAGCATCTCGCTCCTGGTTGCGATTGCTCCTAATAAGGCCAGGCTCCCACTTACTAAACCCGGTGCCCTCAAGCCACCCCTTTTGCGGTGTTTGTCATCGCTTCCCCTATCTTGCACCGGAAAGGCCTGGCGGACGCGGCGCAGGAACTGCATCAGCGGCGCAGGACAATACCTGAAAAGCTTCGGGGGACCGGACGAACCCGTACCTGCTTTTTAAGAGACACACAAAACCCTCAGACCCCAAACCCTCATCTGAGTTAATTAAACACTGTCAATTCTGGGTTGTGGGTTCAGGGTCGATGGGCCATCATTTACAAGAAGCGCTCGAATTACATGCTTGGATGCAGATCACGACCTACGGGTTCACACCGGCGGTGCTTGCGGTTTGAAACACCTTTGGGCCCAAACCGTGCCTTTAGCACCGGAAACCAAACCCTCATCAACGCACAGCAGCTGCTCGAGCTGTGGAGCCAGCACCTAGAAGTCCCAAAGAGGGTTTGGGGTCAAATCTGCAAACCCAGATTTAGAACCCTAGCCAAAAGACAAGCCCTGCAGGACCCAATCTGCACGCTCTATACTTGATCCATCTAAAACAGTTATAAGCTCTGAATCCTCAACCCGAAACACCTAAACTCTGAACCGGAAGATTCACACCCCCCAAATTAAAAGCGGACCTTCGCGTTGCTTCTGGATCCTAAACCCAAACCCGACGCCTCGAATCTTAACCCACGAAACCCGGCAACCCCAAATGCCTGTACTCTGCTGGTAGCTTTCGGAAGCCATCGTCCTGCGAGTATGTTGGCACGCTATTTTGTTTACACTTGAAGCGGCCGTTGAAGCCTTCGGCTTGTAACTCTACCATAGGTGCCTGAGGGATTAGAGCAAGGTTTCGGAGTATGCTGTACTATACTTATAACCAGGGACCCAGAAAAGAGTGATCCCGATTAGTTTGGCGCGTGTATAGCCGTGTTTTTTCGACCTCCAACGGCAACATAAACATGGAATTCGTACAAACAGCAGCTCTGGAGGAACAATTTGGAACCGAGACCGTTCGTCAGCACGGCTGTAGGTGTGCCGGCAAGCTTGGTCCCCGTTTGCTAATGGACGCTAGCCCGGTCCCCCAACCCCAAACGCATGATTTTAGCAAACATGCCTGACTGAATGAAGACAAAGCTACCTGAAACTGGACTCTTAGAAACCTACCTTTTTAGGGCTTCAGATAATTGTTTCCCTATCTACATCTTTGTCAAGATCCATGTGGGGGTTTCCGAAAATTAGGGGGTACCTTATTTGGGGTCCTTACAATCAGGATCCTACTATTTCGGGTTCTATTAGGGTCCCCTATGTTCGGAAATCCCATGTAAATGTCGGGGAAACCATACACCCCTACATCCCTGAGCTCAGAATCCCAAGCATGTGGAATCTGAAAGGGCTTCCCAAATGCCAAACTCCTACACCTTGAGCCGGAAACTCTGAAAGTACAAACCCGTAAGGACTCCAAACGCCCTGCATTACGCTCTCGCAACTCGGAACATGCCAGACGAGGTCTTTGGTGCGCGTCGGTGCTACAGACGGTTCCTTCGATCCTTACATGCATCACACAGCGAGACAACAGCAAGGTAAGGCCACTCAGGACTGGATCAAAGTACACCGCCCCGAATTTCTGAAGGGAGTGGGCAGAGCGCCACTGTAGGGAGAAAGGCTGTGCTACAGTACAACTCGGTGTCCGGCCATCGCAAAACAGCTTAACTTTTGGCATTCGAGATGTTGATTTTCATTAAAGGCCAAAAGCCAATGGTTCTGAACCAACAACTACCCAGTAAGCCCCTGAGCCTCAAACCCTAAACTCCCAAATCAAATTCCAACATACATAAACTAACCTCTAAACCAAACAATGTTAAAGCGGGGGGTCCTCTAGAAACCGCAGCTTCTCGCGGGCTACCCGTCGACCGCCCTCCTCCCAGCTCTCGTTCGGGTGCGGTTTGATCCTTGGCAAAGGCTTAACATGTAACTTTCGGACGTCTGGTAGCTGCACTGCAAATGCACCACGCCTAGCTCTTGCATCTAAGTCATTGCTGACAGCCACGACGGTGGATGCAGATTTCAGAAAATGCACGAAACCTTGCAGCCCTTGTGGTAGACAGGATCCTACAAGAGAAGCCTCAAGCTAGAGGGACCCATGGTTCAAGACAGTCCAGCCTGCCGTCGACTCTATGCCCGGATCTGGACATGGTCAATCGGAAAATGGCTGGGAATCCTTCCCAGTTCCTACATGCCCGATGTCGCCATGACCGTAGGTGGCGAGGTTGTTGCTCATCTTATTCCGTGTCGCGGTTAGTTGTGTTGCTGCTGCTCTTGTAGCGTCTCCAGTGACTCCCATCTTCATTTTCGGAACCGTGGTTCTTGTAGGTGCCCTTGTGAAGGATTTGAGCGTAGGGTTTCTGAAGGCTGAGATGGCGTTGGGGGGGGGGGGGCTAATGGTTTCATGTTTGCGTTTCGATTCAGAATGACCCCGCATTTTGAGTTCAGGCAGCTTACGGTGCTGCCTCGCAGAAGCTCTTCCCCACACACGGGTATCTTCACGGAGCCAGGTGCATCAGCGAATGTGTAAGTTAAAAGGCGCCCACAATCCTTAATCAATCCAACAGCGCGCAAGCCTCAAGACATCCCAAAGCCAGGGCCCAGAAATCGAAATCAGACTTAAACCCTCCTCACAACCCTAAACCCTAGTCAGAGATCACAGCCCTTGCCCCAAAAAGACCTTGCACCCTTGACACGGAGTTGGAAAATTGAACGCTTCCCCTCTGATTCATTGATGGCCCTACTGGACCTTGAAGTAATCAGGGAGAAAAAAAGTATAGACTTTTATACCATAATGGTTCCTTTAAGGAACAGGTACCAAAACAAGTATTCAAGTATGATACTCCAAACCCAGGACAACTGCATTCAACCACCCACACCTTCACCCTCAACACAGGGACCCTTGAACATCTCCGACACATATACGATCTGCAAAGCCCAACTTCTTCCATCGGGGCTCTTGGCGCTCCAGGGGAAGCCGCCGTGCAAGCAGCGGAAGAGGAGCCAGCCCAGTGACTCCACATCGTCAGCGGTGCTCCGCTGGCCCCCCTCCATGCCTGACTTGACCTCGGCTTTTTTGTTCTTAGGTGTTCGGAGTCGGGATCCTTTTAAGAGCTCCTTGAATGATTATGATTCGGGGGCTTCAAATTTAAGAATGATGGGAACAGGGTTTTGCGGTATGTTGTAGCTTCGGAAAGTCACAGATTCAATTAAGCCCCCCAGGTTGAAATATAGGTTTCTTGTAGGGTTGTTTGGGCTTCCAAGGCTGGGACAGCTTCGAAGAGCTCGAACACACAATTCCCATGACTCTGTAACAATCCCTCCCAGTAATCTCTCCCCTGCAGCTCTGATGCAGACATGTAGTCTCGCATTCCACCGTGGCCCGCGTCGAAACCTTGGTAGGGGGCAGCTCCGGGGCCAATGTAGGGACCTCGAAAGTTAGAATGGGCTTTGAGGGCATATTGTCAGCGCACCTCTGTGCGTGACATTTTTGATTTCTGGGCCCCTATATTGTTGGCTGGAGCACCAAACGGCAAACAAACGTGAGGATTTCACATGTGACTTTTGTCAGGAATTCCCCGTGGATCAGGGGGCCCGATATCCAGGGCAGGCGACTAATCTTGAAGTGGGTTTGCCATTTGTCCGAATCTTCCTGGTCTCGGGACTGACAATCTGGCCCAAATTCTTAAACCCATGTTGCTGAATGGGTAACTTATCATGACTCATGCCCTGTAAACGGCTCCTGCATTTGACTAGCCTCGGGATTTTCGGGCTCAGGCCTCACCTCGACACTCGAAGGACCTCATACCCTCGAAGCTCAAACCCTGTACTCAACGATCCTGTATGCTTGAAAACCCGCGGAACCCTGGCGAGGTCATACCAGTTCCAGGCATTGTGCGGGAGAGGGACGGGTTTGGCCGACATTGCCCGCCCGCCCGAAGTCTATCAGCTGTACCCAAGGCTCACCACGCCGCAACCTTCGATTGGGCGGAAGAAACTTTTAGGATTTAGAAGTTTGAAATGCAACAGACAGAACCTGGTTGCGGATGTCCGTGGTTCCTAGGACGAAGTCCTTGACACCCACGGGGTACCGCAAGCCGTTCGCTGCTGGAACGCGTGGTTGAGACAGGATGCTGATAATCACAATGGTATGTGCATTTTGTTGCTGGCGTGGTTTATAGGATACCACTACCACTGCTTATAGCTGCTTTATGTCCCTACCGTGTCTTCTCCGAAGCCCAGGCACAAGATGTTCCCAGGCTTCATGTCACAGTGTAGGATGCCTTTCCGGTGGATGGCCTCCAGGAAAGAAGGTGGTAAGAGTAGTAAAACGAAAAACAGTACTAGTCATAGTAGCAAAAGAAGTATTCCCATTTACCACATCGCAAGCATCTATCTATCTATCTATCTATCTATCTATACACATATGTAATGACCTAAAACATAACAACAACTACTGTATTCTTTGCGGCGCTCTGGGCCGTTACCGCAGCTATTCCTCCAAGCCGTGTGAAGTCACCGACTAAACCTTCAAATCCCTTCAGCAAAACCCTAAACCCACAGACCCCCTATCTACCCTCCTTGCCGACTCCTCGCCTTCTAAACCCTACATAAACCCTACAAACCCGCACACCCAAAAAACCCTAAACCCTATAAGCACTAAACCCTAAAAACCCTAAACTTTACAGACCCTAAACCCTAACCCCCTTTAAAAGGCCCCTGCCTGCAGCGTGCGGAGGAGCCGCACGCCGAGGTCTGCGGCCACGGGCCACGAGAGCCGGCCAAGGATCTTGGGTCCGGGGTCCTCGGCTCTGCTTTAAAAAATGGGAGTTTCCGAATTCAGGGGTACCTTATTTTGGGGGTCCTTATAATAAGGATCCTACTAATTAGGCCGGGGTCCTCGGCTCTGTGTTAACAAGTAAAGGCCTTTTTTGGTTTTAAAGCTCTCGGGTCAAATGTTTAAGGGCTCAGGGTTTAGATTCGTCGTACTTTAGAAAGGGCTTAGGGCTAGCCTTAGTTCTGGTGGGATCTGCTGAGTTGGGTTTAGGCTTGTTTTGGGTGGCGTGTTGTTTGGCTCCTTCGGTGTGTGGTTCTGAAGTTTTTATCTACAACTCCAGGGTTCCATCGCTTGCTCCCGAAAGCATGGTGACTACGACTCTATTGGGCAGCCCAATCCAAACGAACGGCAATCATCCTTGGAAACAGTTTGTCAGCAGCCCCGACAGCAGAAGACCAAGACCTGAAGCTCAACCTAAACACCCGTCTCTCCTCCGTACATCCCTGATAAAGGCAATTGGAGTGTCATAACGTCCTGAGCAGCCTAAACACTCGATTGAATGAAATCTCAGAATGTAGCACGCCCGCAAGAAAGCCAAGAGTCATGGATGTGAAGGTGGCCTGCTCGGGTTTCGGTGTCATAATATGGGGCTGCATCTTTAAGTGTCGAAAAATGTCGAAAAGATCTCGGCTTCTGTCTTGGGCGTCTAGGGCTTCAGCTTGCGGCCTTAGAGGCTGCAGGCGCAGGATTGATGTGGGTCTACGGTACCCGGGGCAGAGCATGAGGACTGCTACGGCATGGAGATTCATATTCAAAAGATAGAAAGCCCTAACAGAAGACCCTTTTCGAAGCGGGGCCCTCATCTGCAATGAAGCCCTCGTGAATAACCCTCAAAGCTGCGTCCTTCTTGTATGTCGGGAATAGGTGGATCAGGGAAAGTCGGCCGTTCACTTCTCTGAGCGCAGCACACGCCTGTCCGCCCGGTACACATAATTTCATGTTGCACTCTCAAGCAATTAACCCAACCTCCGAAACCCTCCTCGAACTACTCAGGCCCCTGTCTTGAGCCAACTGCCCTCATCCCGCCTCGAAGCAGGGTGTCCAGGCAAGGCTCCGTCCTTGACATGGCCTTAGCTTTCCAGGTCGACTTTCTGTTTCCTGGCTTTTACAAAACGGAAAGTCTACAAAACCCTAAACTTCCCTAAACCCTATAGCTTTGCTTAAGAAATGCTGGGAAGTGGCCATGTAGAAGCCCTTGTTGGATAGACGGCCGCCTGTATATGTCTGGGCTATGCCGAAGTCCAGCAAATCTGGCAAGCCGGGAATCTCCTGAACAGAGTTGAGGCCATTTGTTTTTTTTTTTTTGCGGGGGAGCTTGATGTAATGGACTGAAAGTCTGAACTCAAAAACCCTCAACCAACCCCAGCCCGAAAGCTGAACACCTCTGTGTACATCGGCTTGAGCGGAAACTACCCTGAGTCCGAAACCTGCCCCCAAATGCTGAACACCATTAATTCAACAATGCAACAAAAATTGTAAACCGTTAAACCCTCACCCGAACCCGACCAGTCAGGCACACGGTTTAGTAGGTTCAGGCAAGCATCGTGGACGCGGGCATAATACTGAAGCTCCTGTGCTTCCACTGGAAACTTCACCTCGGGCTTCTGACTCGGATGAAAAGACGCTCAGCACCTTCAGCCTTCTTCTTGGGGCTTTTGCAGTGGTGGCCGGTCGTGGGAACAAGAAAGCGACAACTACTTGGCTGAACGTATGATGAGAATTTCTTACGGTTTGAGGGTTTTGGGGCGTTGCTTCTTAAATATCCAGCATGCTCAAGCTGCAGCCATGAGCTGCGTTGATTATGTTTCGGCTCGCGTCTTTCTTGCTCAATCGCATCCTTAACCATCCGTAGAACTCCAAGAATAAGAGTTTATGTGCAGAGCCTTGTGCATGTCAAATTGTCCTCCAGGAAATGCCCATTGTTACTTTCCGAAGTGGCCTTACCATTCCGCAGTCTCGGCTCGTTTATGCTTCATGCCCTCCCCATTGGCCTTGAGCCCCTCAGAAATCGCGCAAATGAACGTGTTTTGAATCAGGTCTCCCTCGTCACACTAAGCTTCTGTCGTCCCCCAAGAATCGCCATAAACCAATATGGTATGCCCTGCGGACCAAGTGATTCATCGAAACACCAGGGACTGCTGACAGGATGTTAGTGTTTGGAAGTGCTTTTGGTCGTATCACCTTGTAACTACTTTACAAGAGAGCGGAAGGAATGTGTATCATTGTTTCCAACGTACATTATAAGAGCACCTTAGATTTGTAATTCGCCGCGGCAACATTCGTCGTCTCACTCGGCCGGGCCGAGGCGGACGCGAAGCGCTTACTTTACAAGTCAGAAGGAACTGGAAGGACAAGCCTTGCTTGCTGTATTGCTAAACTCTAGACCTACAGAAATCTTTTACTGTACGACATGACGCTCCTAAACCCTCTAGGCCCATTAGTATTTATTAAACCCCTACAGCCTGAACTTAAACCCAAAACTTTCCCTGAACCCGAAACACCTCAACCCCAAACCCTAAACCCCTGAACCCTAAACCTGAAACCCTGAACCTTATACAAACCCTCAACCCTATGCTCAGACGGGCACCGCAGCGATGCCCCCACTCCCTGACGCTGGCCAGCGGCCCGTGTAGACCACAGCCTGCGGGTTATTTAAAAGGAGCCCTTTAAGGCACCCTTAGAGGAGAAGGCACCCTTAAAGGAATCCTTGAAGGAGCCCTCCTTAAAGGAACCCTTAAGGGTTCTACAAGCGATCAATTTCGGGTTTAGGGGCTTTGGTTGAAAGGTTTTGGGGGGTTTGGCTTAGGGCCTGGAGTTTGGTGGTGGTTGAGGGGTTTAGGGTATAGGGGTTTAGCGGAATTTGGCTTCTGTTTCGGGGTTTAGAAGTTTAGGGTTTAAGGGCTGCGGGTTTGGGGATTGGTGTTAGTTTAGGGTTTTTGGTTTAGGGGTTTATGGATTCAAGAGCTTGGGGTTTGTATTGCTCTATACGGGTTTACCACGTCGATCCTTCAATGAAACCCCCAGCCGTTCTCTAATTAAACCCCGAAGCCATAGTCCTATAAACCTAGGCCCTTAGTCTTCAACTCTACCTGGACCCCAAAAAGAATGTAGAACAACCGCCCCTCAAAGGTTATGAGCCATTATTTTTCTGAATGGTGTTTGGGTAAACTGAAGAGCTTGCCGCCCTTGGAAACAAAATAAAACTGATACTCATATGAATCCCCTTGAGCTACTTATATAAGTTAAACTTTTAGCCTCCTTCATATAGTTCATATAGAAACACAAAAGGCTTGAGCTACTTATATAAGTTAAACTTTTAGCCTCCTTCATATAGTTCATATAGAAACACAAAAGGCTTGAGCTACTTATATAAGTTAAACTTTTAGCCTCCTTCATATAGTTCATACAGAAACACACAAGGTGCTACAGTCCCAACATCCAAGCAGGAGAGTTCTATGAGAGCTGCAACATGATTCCTAAGAACAGTAAATACTTAAGTGGCGTCTGAACCCTTCCTAAACGTCAAACTTTTAGCCAAGAGAGTGCCAAGAAGAGGAGTGCCGAGGAGCTCCCTGCTTCCCTTGGCCGATACGCCCGGAGATCCTCGGATCATCGAAGGCTTTGCAGCGGCTTAGGGCGCTTTTGGGGGTTTAGGGCTTAGGATAGGTACTTACCCTCAAACAGCAAGAGTCTATAATCGGGCTACTATTAAGGTCCGAATATATCTATATGATGGTTATTATTCAACTATTACTGAGTGGTGGCCGTACCCAAGGTTTAGGGTTTAGGGGGTCTCGAGAAACCTGCCAGTTTGGGGCTCCTCGATATGAGTTCCTTGCGGAAGTCCTAAAAAGCACGGCAGGTTGTTTCGGGTTAAGGTTGGGCGGTTCGGGGTTTAGGCTCTTGAGGGGCTTCCGGTTGAGGGTTTAGGGCTGTTGAGGGATTGAAGGTTTCGGGTTCCGACTCTCACTGCTTCGACAATCTAGGCGAGTCGTCTGAGTGCAAGAGACTGACGACAAGGCCCCTACTACCTTGAGCAGGATTGGGCACGAAACTCTGACATGACTCTGGCCTTCGGCAACAGCCAGATGCTGAGCATCACGAAAGTACCAGAGGCTGCGTGACCTCTATGAAACATCCAGATTTTTCCATACCTAAACAAACATGTTGTACAATCTCCGGTGGCTTCAGGCCGGTCGGGCCACCAAACCCATTGCAACACCCACCCTCAACCTCCTCACCTCCACCCCTCCACCCACACCATTCCAGGGTGCAGGGAGGGAAAAGTAATTATGGGGTTCAGGGTCTTTGAGGGCGATCGGTTTAGTGACTGTAGTGTTTAGGTTATACAGCTCCGGTTTTAGTGGGCTTCAGGCTTTGGTTTAGGGCTGTTTCAGCACTCGCAACTCGGCGCAACCCCGCCGGAGCCAAGACTCTGCCAGCCACCCATTTCTTCCCATTCCTCCTGCTCCTCGGCCTAAGCCGGGCTCAGGGTTGAAGGCTTTCGGCCCGGAGTTTAGGGTTCCTGGGCCTAAACCCTCCAGAAGACCGAAACAATCTCGAACTCTGAACTCCAAAATACCTCCCCTGAACCCTATACCCCACCCCCCGAAAACGCAGAAACCACCTATTACCGAACTTGAGAAGGATAGCGGTTCGGGGTTGAGGGTCACCAATCGACAACACTGCCAGCATGACGTGTAGCTGCCGTCCGAAACACTGGCTGCCACCACCACTTCCCAACCCACACCCCCGTAAGCCAAACTCTAAAGCAAAAACGCAAGACGCCGAAATTTACATGATTTTTCCGTTACCAGTGGACCAAAGGTACGTGCTACCGCAACCCCTGATCCAAAACCCGAACCCCAAAACCCCGAAACCCTAAGCTTTAGGCTCTTAGTCCCTGATTCCAAGCCTTCGCTATCTCCTCACCGTCGATCCTCCAGCCCAGGGCCACGGCGCAGCCGCGAGGGCAGGCCACGAAGATCTGGGCCTATGATGGCTTGTTTGGGGGTTTAGGGTTCATGGGTTGAGGGCTTAGGGTACAAAAATTTAGGGTTTAGGCTTCAGGGTTTCGGCTTGTTTGGGGGTTTCAGCACTCACAACTGGACAAGCAGGCGAGGATCCGGTTACGAATGCGTCCAGCACATTAGCCGTTCCCAAGCAACATTGTACTTCAGAGTCTTCCTAGCCGTATCCTCGGGATGGTGAGAAACACTAGCACAGGCTTCCTTACACCTCATCTCAGGGCAAGCTTCCCTCGTAGTTGGCTTCCGGCTCACTCTTCTCCATCACTGCAGAACGATCTCTGGGGCCACAGCAAGAAAGCAGTCCCCGAATCATTCGACGTAGCCACTTGCCAGCTCTATCATCGTCCCAACATGCAGTTGGCTTTCACTGTTGTCATGCAGTAACCCTTTCATGCAGCCAAAACCACCATGCAGCAAGGGTTCAGGGGTTGAGGGTTTTTTCCCTCCTACCTAGCAGGGTTCAGGGTTTAGGCGTCAGGGCTTCGGCGCGCACACTCGGACAGTGCAGGCGAGGCATGTGGTTCGAGGTCTGTTGAGAGAGACTGCACTAGTTGGGAGGGCTGAAGTTGTATCAGCAAGACAAATTCAGAATCTTAAGAACAATGCCAAACAGCTGCAGGGTTTAGGGTTTAGGGCTTCAGGGTCTGTGGGGTCAGGTGTTTCGACTCGCACACTCGCACAATCGCAGGCACGGCTTGATGGTCCATTGCTACCTTTACTTCAACTATCTGCTCCGCCCTCTGTCACCAAGCCACCGAATACGAAACATAAGGTCAGGTGTTTAGGGGTTGGAGGGTGTGGGGTTCTGTATTGTCTTGAGCACACAGCTCCCTTGCAAAAGTCGAGATTCAATGAGAGGGTCACGGTTTCAGCATGTGGGCTTAGGATCGTAAAAACCACAAAGATACCTACCTCTTGTGGGAAAGTAACTTGAGCACAACTTTTCATTTTCAAGATATGGTACAAAGGTTAGATTCATAACATGTCTAGAAAACCAATTCCGTCTTTTGGAACAAAAGCAAAAAAAAGATCTCGGCCTTTCGGGAGAGGCGGGAGCTGTCCAGGAACCAGGACCTTGATGCTTTCGGGTGCTTTTCGACACTCGCACTCCGACGCTTGGGGCTTGAGGGTGCGGATTTGGAGCTGGGAGATGAGAGTTTCGGGACTTAAGGTTTAGAATGGTTCAGAGTTGAGGGCTTGGGATTTAGGGGTTGCAAACGTTTGGGGTTCAGGTTTTGGCTTATGGTTTTGGAGGGTCGCTTGTCCATTGAGTTGACTCTCGTTCTTGAACCGGTTGAGGCTGCATGTCTTGAAGTTGTGCTTAGGCTGCTTAGGTGACTGGTGGTTGAGAAGTTCATTGTGAAGCTTGAAAGTCCGAGTAGGAGTGAAAAGGGAAGCCTTGACATGATATTCTGATAGATGAAGGACCAAAGTAGCTAGTATGCACACTACAATGCAGAGTAACCACGCAAATAGAAACCACCAATTTCAACACGGCTTCCAAGCAAGAAACCCTTGACCATGAACCATCCTGCTAGCATTCCCGCTTTCTGTGTCGAAAGTTCCGTGCTTGCGCTCAGAGGTTTAAGGCTTACTGCAGGCTGTTGAACACACATGACAGTTGGAATCGAACTGATGCTGAACACGACCAAGACACTGATCACCATGCACCGCGTGGGGACCCAACAGCTCATGACGTATGGACGGGTTGGCACCCTCCACACTGGGATAAATCCTCCCTGCAGGTGCGCTGACCTGTAGCATCGCATCCTCGCCGGCAGGAATGTCCAGACTGCAGTAGTACTGCATGCCATCCCAGCGCATTGGGATCCGGATCTCCTCGCCAGACCTGCTCGTCGTGAATCCACTTACAGCTACCGCTGCTTCCTCTTCTGCTACCTGTACCACTGACTCGCTCCTCCGCTTCTTAGACGGCTACGACGAGACTGCTGCTCCTCCAGTGCTGCTTCCCAAAAATACTACAACTACAGCCACTCCCAGCGCTTTAGCTACCATGTACAAACCACCGCAACCATCACCGACCATCACCACCACCACGACCAACCACAACAACAACGACGACAAGATCCACCACCACAAGCACCACGGCAAGGGCAGCGACATCCGCTCTGCTGCTGCTTCTGTTGCTGCCACGACTCATTCAGCAAAGTTTGCATCCGTAGAAATTAAGGTAATAAGACAAAGAGGATCTGAAAAAGAAGCCTCAAAGCCTCAAAAGTCCCGAAGCTTGAACCTTGCATATTGTTAAATGTCATGTGCCTGTATGCGCCAAGTCCATCTGTATACCAAAGCAACACAAGCCTCAGGCTATAGAAGCCCAGCGACGAGCCCCAGAAGCCAAGCAAATGACAGTCACCCAAAGGCGCTGCCCGGGGATCCTTCGGGTGCAGTTGCCAGGCTTGATATGGGGGCCTTAATAGTTAGAAAAGGGGTTTTGGGGTCCATTATACTATAACCATATAAGGAGCCCCCCAAAATCGTATTGGTAATTATTAAGGCACATAGCTCGGATCGAAGCACAAGCAAGGTTGCTTTCAGGCAACTCAGACTGGCTTGGGGTGTGGGGTTTGAGGCTTGGGGGTGAGGTCAGAAATTGCTTGAGGTTTTGAAGACTGCAGCACTCTCTCCGATGAGCGAACATCGGGCACTAGGGTGAGTGTTGGTTCCGCGCCTACAGTTGGTTTCAGGTGCGTGCACAATCTCGGATCTTCGTGTCCAGCAAATGTGGCAAAGTCTCCTCTAGCTGAACACGGGGACGAAGCTAGAATGTGCACTTGGTGGTCAGCGATGTCGCTGCCTGCACCCTCACTCACCTATCATTGTCATCTCCTTCGTCTTAACAGCCATCATCGCCTTCATCATGACTGCCACCATTCCATCACACTCACCAAAGTCATCATCACACAGCCTTCAAGATTCGCCATGTCAGAGTCGCCGTCAGCACCACCATGATCACCATTTTGCAGCAGCGGTCCTCAAACCCCGCCCTCCTCAAGCCTTCACAAACACACGAAGTTCGAAACCAACTAACACTCCAAAACCTTCGTTGTTTATTGCCAACCCACAGCTGCCCTCGTACTTTTCAAAACCCCAAACTAAATCGCAAGCCAAAAGCCAAATACACGAGACAAACTTTCGAGAAACCGGCAATGACGGACATGCAAACTATCGTCGTTGCTAAACCGAGACAACCCTAAGCCCCTAACCCTGAACCGCCTAAGCCCTGCATCGTCTTAAAAGCCCCTAAGCCCTGAGCCCCACATCATCCCACGAGCCCTGGCTTATCTCAAAACCGCCGCTCCGCCTTGCTCCGATCACGCCCGCCCACGAGCCGCTGGACCGCTTCAAGAGCCTCCTCCGGTTTCAGCCAGACCTCCCACGGCTTCTGGGGCTCTAGCTTCCTATAAGTGGTACCATAAGGCTTCTAAGGTTACCGTACCGGAGTTAGTTTTTGTACATTTGCTTATGGGGTTTAGGGTCTTTGATGGTTTATACAGAGCTGAGGTTGTTGGTATTTTGGCTTCTATTGTTTGGAGGTGTTGGGCATATGGTTTGGGTTTAGAAAGTCAGATTCCCAAGAGGCCAGTCAGGTGATGGTGGTGATAGTGGCAAAGACGGTGAAGATGGTGATGACTGCTACGGTGGTAGTGCCGGTGTAGTTGATGGTCGCCGTTCGAATTGGGGCTTGCAAGTCACTGCAGATTGCGTGGCAGCGTGCGTGGTCTTCAAAGTCCGGACACAAAGACAGTTTTTCGCGAACCCCTTACCTCAACATCCCGAAAGTAATATGCTGGCGGCCTTAAAATCCCTAATCCCCGAGAGCACACTGCCAAAGAACCCCTCCACCCTTCAAACCTCAAACCCGAAACCACCTGCACCGGACACGAGGCTAAAACCCAAAATGAGAAACATGCCAAAGATCCTAAAGAGACACCCATGCTCTTAAGCTCCTAAACCCCTGACCGCCCTAACCCCCTGGCGTTGTTGAGCCTTTCCGGTGCGCTCCGCTCGATCCAATTTCTCTGGCTTGCTGCCTCCAGGGGCCGCCCGCTCCTATGAGCTTTGAGAGAGAAGGGCGGCTCTGGCCTAAACCCCAACTTGTCCAAGGGCTTTTAGGGCTGTACAAACACATGCCTACAGAGCTGAAGAGCTTAGGGATTATTGTTATGGTATGTGACGGTAGCTTGGGCAATACGGGCTTTTTTGGGGGGTTTACCATTCAAAGGTTTCGGCTTTTGGCATTAGGATCGTTACAGGGGTGGTCCCTGTCAATCAGAGATCCCGAACCTTGAACCCAGAACCCTTCTTCTCAACCCTATGTTTCAGGCCGTCCTCGACCTCGGGCTGCATCAGTGCAGAGTCGTCGGTCTCTTCCGCCGCCTTGCCCGGGACTGCATAGGGCCTTCGCTGGTGGACTGAAACCTACCCCTACATAGATAAAAGTTATGTACAGGTTAGGTTAGGTGTCAGGGTTTAGGGTTTCAGCGACATGGGGGATCAACAGGTTTAGTGGAGGTGCACACCTTGAGGGGCATGGGTCAACATAGAAGCTAGCAGCGGGGGGGGGGCTCTTGGCAAATGTCTTCGGGCTTTCAGGCTTTCGTGTTCAGGCGCTTTGGATGGGTTCCTGCAGATCAGGGCTAAGGGTGTAGGAGCGGACGGCACCAAACATGAGGAAAGCAACAGGTTTCAACTTGAAGCCGCACTCGGCCCGAAATCTCCTGAAGAATGGTGGTTTGTCAAGGACCGACCCAAAAACAAGATAAGGGTCCGTTTCTGGGGACCTTACATGAAGGATCTTGCTGTTTTAATTCTCGGCACAGTCTCTCTCATGGTTCTTACTCCCTAAACCTCAAGCAGGAATCCGAATCGGAATCCTCTTGCCAGAAAGCCGTATAAATGCAAGAACCAACCCCCACCTGTCATGGGAAGCATCGGGATAGCCGTGCCCGTTCCTTGGATGCTGGGCGCGCGTCAGATGTTTCTATATTCGTACTGCTCTCAGCTTTGCAATACTAATCCGGGATGGGATTAGGGATGATCAGGGGTTAAGAGCTGTAAGACCAATATTCAAATATGCCAAAATGCCAGTTGGGTACGATCGTAAATGGAGTTACCCACGAGTACACGATCCTTATACTCATGTGGTCTCTTGGCGGCTTATCTACGGCTTCCCTCAAACAGCGAAGCCAGAACCTGCGGGCCAAAACATGCCAAAATCCCCTTAACGCTCAACCCTTAACCCCGAGCATCTGAAACCCTGCGCTGAACCACACATCCCATAACCCCAGACTCCTAAGCATGGAACCCGAAATGAAACAAAAGAAACCTGGACCCGAAAACCCTCATAAAGCAATGTGAACTGCAAAACTTTGCTTCCGGCCGCTATGGAGGTGATGACACAGCTACTGACTAACTGGTTACCAACATTCTCCCCTAGAGTGCCTTATTCATAGTTCTAATGCACCATAATTATTCAGGCTCCCACATTATTCCTTGCGACAACTTATTTTTTTATACATCATGGCACTAATTTGGGCCCCGGCATATTCGTCAGCATTGGGGTTCCATGTTACAATTGCATGTTGAAATAGTGTGCACCATACCTCTTCAGGCCGCTATATTCTTCCTTAGGGCATTACCACTATATACATAGTTATATGCGGTGCTAGCATTTCGCTCAGGTCCAAGAAAGATGAGCCAAGTACTGCTTTGGAGTTATTGCACATGTAGGGACCCCTTGCTTTCGCACATAACCCTAGCCGAGTGTTTGGCGGCTTGTGGCGTCGTATCATCAATGCTAAACCCTAAACCCGTGATAAACCCTGAAGATTGCCTGAAGATGACTTCGACTGGTCCCCTTGGGGACAAAACACAAGACGCCACGCAGGGACTCTACGAGTGGTTGGTCCGCAGTGCAGCTACCAGCCCTCCTTGGCCAGTAGCTTCTATCTTTGAAAGCCTCATACTACCGCTCTTACGGCCCACTGTATTCCCTTCGATAAAGCGAAGCTCCGAGGTTGATGGAAAGCCCCTTGGGCTGCCAGCTGCGCCACGCGCGGCATGGGGTCGCCGCTCCGCGCGGGAGCACGCCGGAAGCATGGCCCCCCGGGGGAAGACTTCCGACTGGCTCCAAGAGCACGAGAGCTCTGGTTATGGTGTTGTGGTTTTGTGTTTTTGAGCGGCTTTGTGCTTCAGGACTTCAAGGGCTTGGGGCTTCGATGGCTTAAGGCTTCGGTTTGAATGCAATGCTGGCTTGAGGCTTCTTGATCTCGGGTTGATTGATGTCTGGCGTGGGGTTGGGATTTCAGGCTGCAGTTCATCCTTCGGATGAAAGCCGTGTATAGGGCTTCTACGACTCCAGAGTTGACGCCTTTGGTATCGGGTCTCGTCTGGGACCAAGAGATCACCTGAGGGCCACTGTAGTCTGGAACCTAAAACCTGCAGAGGCGGCCCGCAGCCATCGAACAGACTTGGGCACCATTGTTTATCTTTCTTCCGACCCGTAAGGTACCTGCGAACATTTTGAGATATTGAAAAGGCCCTCAACAGGAACCTTATGAGACTGTTGCAGGAGCACTACAACAACCAATGAAACCGTCAACAGTTGGCGTGCTCGCGATTCTGGGCTGGGGTCTGTCTGGCTTCACAAACCGTTTAAACTAAATCGAAAACCTACCACTTCATAGTTCAGCAGCTTTTCGTGGAGGGCGCCGTGGACCTAGGGCTTCATTGTGCTGTATTGGGGCTAGCATTGCTTGCAACATTGACTACGCATTTTCATTTCTGAAGTTGCAAACGGTGTTGCGTTGTTGTACATCCATTTCTGCTGAACCTTACCTCGGTTTCTTGAGTACGCTTTTGTATCATATTATAATATGCTATATATAGCCACTTAGTCAGCTATAAGCCCAAAGAGACCGTCAACCCTCTAGCCTACCCTTGAATATCAACGGCACTCCGGGTGGATTCTGCAAGCGCTGCAAGCAAACTGATTTTTCGACCGTCCTTTCTGTTGCGAAGCTGCGCTGCTTCCTGCCGGCTGCCAGCTATCTTGCCCGTACCAGGGAGTTTCCGAAAATTAGGGGTAACTTCTTGATCCTACTATTTAGGGTGCTATATTGGGGTCCCCCTTCTTTTCGAAACCCCTACCAGTCCACAAGAATATATAAGGTCCCCACAAAGCAGGCCCAGCTCCCCGGAGATTGGGCTTTCGGGCTTCGGGGTCTTTTGGTGGCTCTGTCGCGTCAACATAGGAACAGATAGGATATGGGGGAACAGGGTTTGACTTGGTACAATTCGTAGGGCTTAGGGTGAGCTCTGGGCAGTTAAAAGGGTCTCGACTTCGGGGGAAGGGATTGTGGCCATGTACAATACCTCCTCCAGCACTGTACTAACGAAGTGGGACTCTCGAAGAGGCCCTACTCTTTGGCCACTGCACCTGCCAGGTCTTTGGGCATGGGTGCCTTACACCTTAGGCGACGAAAAACCTGCCCAGCACGTGTGACCGCAAACCGCGTCAGTCTCCCAAACCGTATCTCCGACACTACCGTGTCGGGCCGTTTTTCGGGTTCGGTTTGAAGGCTTCGGAATCCCCCCACCTATGTAGACAGACCCGAAGCGGTGCGGCAGCGCCGAAGACGGCCATCGGACCTGAGATCGTCGAAGCGGTTCCAGGTGCTGTGCCTTTTGAGTTAGTGTACCCGCCAAGCTCTTTTGTCGTGCTTAATTTAGCCGGTGCAGTTGAGGTGTATAGGGCTCTCCCTCTCTCAGACTTAGGGGCCGAAGTCCTGGGAATCACAACATCGACAGAGTTTCTGAGGGAACTGTTTACAGCATGCGACGCACTGCTAGTCTACACTGTACACCTCATAAACCGATTGCAAACTAACTCCCAGTACCCAAACCCTAGCCCTCATGTCTGGAGATTCAACTCATCCACAACGGACCGTGGTTACAGGATGTTGGACATGAACGCCGCTCAGCTTTTTCACCGCTACACCTACCCTCCAAATCAGTGCAAGGCCCTCCTCGGAACCCGTGTGTAACACCAAAGCCTGTCTAACAACAAAGCCCCTCTGTAACAGCAAACCCTATCTAACAACAAACCCCGGCTAACTGCAAACCCTGTCTAACAGCCAAGCCCGTAGTCCAGCGCCGAATCCCCTGTCCCGAACGCTTTGAAACCGACTCACAAGTCTGCAAACTCGAAACTCCCTCTTAAAAAAACCTGAACCACAACATACCTGACCGAGGGTCCAGAGTCCTAAACTCTACAAAACCAATACCCTTTCCTTGCTTTTTGGTGGAGGAGGGCCTGCAGTGCAAATGCCCTCGTGCTCAGTCGGCTACACTAAACCCCGAAATCCTGACACTAACATCCCAAAACCTTGAAGACGAATAACCCTTCGAAAACCCATTAAAAAGAAGGAGCACTGTCAAACCTGAAGCCCCCCCCCCTTCGGCTCTTCTTCGCGTCCTCTGTGCCAAGTGGTAACCCGGATGAATCGAGCCTCGGTTGCCCGATCCCTTGCTGTTAGGGGCCGAAAATGCTCCTGCACGCATTTCGGGCTTTCGAGGGTTGAGGGTTTCGACTCCCAACGCTCGCTCAAGGCAGACAATGCTTCACGACATGCCCCAGCACTACAGAAGTAAGCAACCATTTGAGTGTTCAGGGTATGGAGCTTTCCAGGGGGTAGTGCTTTGTGATGGAGGATCCTGAAGCTTCCATGTAAATAACCTATGCTGCTGTACCTAGGACCTAGTTCGGCCTATTTGGAGTCTCAAGTAAAGCGAAATCATGCTCTAAGCTTTGCTGTTCGGGTATTGGCTCTCCCCACACGGACACTCCAGGTGAGGAGGATGGGTTCGCATGCAGACGGCTACATGGAACCATCGAATGAAACCAATGTGCTACTTGGCGTTGGCGGGAGCAGGGGGAAAGGGGGGTTATGATTCAGGCCTTAGGTTTTGTTTTCGGAGTGGACCTCATGACATCATTCCCTCTCACTATTGGCGGCAGATGACAAAGTTTATCAAAGCTTGCTATCATGGGAACTTTGACACAAAGTGGCACTGACATCTATGAGGTTCCCAGAGAGGCGCGGAAACGAGCCATGCCCCTCAGACTCAAGGCCAGAGCCCCCCCAAACCTACGCTTTAGCGGTTTAGCGTTGAGGACTCGGGGCTTCGAGGCCTAAGCCATCGACACCTCGGCCTTACTCAACCCTGAGTACTGATGTAGGGTATTATAATTATCAGACTATGGTTTCGGTGGATATAACAGCAGGATTGCAATAAAGAGCCCTACAGAACAAGATTGGCGTTGCTTCAGGCTACTACGTTGATGCAGAGCTTAGCCATCTTCTTGTACAGCTGCAGTACCTGTTGGAACCTCACCTTGCCACGCGAGGTTCGAAAGGTTTGCATCGAACAACATGCGCATGTGAGCCTTCGAAGTGACCAGTTCAATCCATATGGACATCAATCGCTCGCAATTGCTCCTTCGGGGAAGCAAAAGATAATAAGCCCTGCCCCCTCCCCCGAACAACACAACTCTTCGATACGGACTGTAGATGTGTCGGCCATGCGCCCCCACTTTCTGTGCACTCACTTGGTGAGCCGCGAGGGCGCAGGGTCAAGTCATCCAGGGCAAAAGAGGCAAAAGAAGGCAATGCCCATAATTGGGATCTTCTGTTGCGTCGTACTACAATATGCGCAGGAAAGGAAAAGCACATCAATATAAAATTCCCGGTACAGGGTGCTAATGCCGAAATCAAGCCCATCTGAAGGCTATCAAGGAGACTGCCATCACAGCCATTCCGGCGAAGAAGGAGTACGATGTGTAACGATTGCCCGGATCGTACTTCAGGGCGGTCGGCAGCAGCTTCTTGAAGGAGATGTGGATCATGATGCCCGCGGTGAGACCGTAGAAGATTCCGTAGGTTGCGGGCCCGAGCACGTCCTTGAGAACCAGCCATCCCAAGAGCCCACCGAGGGGCTCGGAGAGGCCGGAGACGAAGGCCCAAAAAAAGGCTTTGCACTTGGAACCGGTGGCCTTGGAGGTTCAGGGCTGGCTATAAGTAGGGGTTATAAGTAGGGTTCCTTTAAAGCGATCTATAGGGCTATAGGGACGGTTTGGGGATTATAGGGTTCAGGGGTAGTTATAAGTAGGGTTATAAGTAGGGCAACCATACTTATAACCCATGTTAGGGGACTTATAACCCCACCTATAACTACCCTAAACCATAAATTTCCTGAATCCATACAGAACCCTTTAAAGGGACCCTTGAAGGAACCCCACTTATAACTACCCCTGAACCTCCAAGTAGCCTTTTTGATGGGCGCTGCCACAGCCAAGCCTTCGGGGATGTTATGCATGGCGATGGCGAAAGCCATAGCCGGCCCAAAGCTGGGATCTGCCATTGTGGAAATGAAGGTGGCGATGCCTTCGGGGAAGTTGTGCAAAGCGACAGCAATCCCTGAGAACGCGGCCATCTGCAGCATATTCAACCGCTCAGAGGTGCTGAGGGGTTTGTCGGTGGCTCCATCCTGGGCTTCCGGCTCAGGAGCGTCGGTGATGACAATGTCAACCTCGCCGACATGCCTGTGGAAGATCTTTGTTCCGATCCACTCCACCAACATAGCGAGGACAATCCCTCCGAAGACGGTCAATGTCCCGAACGTGAAAGCACTCCGCTCAGTGAGGTCTGCGTCCTGGAAGCTCTGATTCGTCATGTCCAAGATCTCTGAGAAGGACACATACGCCATCACACCAGCAGCCAAGCCCAGGCAGATCGCAAACACACGGTTGTCGTCAGTATTGACACAGAACGCAATTGCTGCGCCGATCGTGGTGGCTAGGCCGGCAAGAAGGGTCAGGAGCATGGCGAAGCCGGCGTCCCCCTCGGAGATGTCCACACCCTCCATGTCGTGGGAATGCCCTGCATGGAGTATGCGGCCGTCGTGGTGATGGGCGAAGTCCATGATGCCTGGGAGGGGTGCCAAGGAAACGTTGCCTGCCGAGTGCCGAGAAAAGTCTTGAGCCGCAGGTTAGCAGGCAGAGATGGGAGAGACCACAAAAGACGTGAGCAGGGATGCCAGTCTTCATGGACTCCAAACGGCCCTGGACAGAATGAAAGCATCCGAATCCAAGGGGCAAGGACGCCAAGCTGCCACCAACGCGCTTGGGAGACATCCTCAACCTCAAAGAGCTGCGGGATCTGTTCATCAAAGTCATTAGAGGGTGAGAATTCAGATTTACGGATAATTAGGGTTGAGGGTTCAGACGGCTTCGTTTTTTGGACGGTTTAGGGTTTGGGGGTTTAGGGCGCTTCGAGATCAGTGTTGGGTACATTTTGACTCTCGCCCTTTTCGATGCAAGCAAGACTTCACGACGGGTATCGGTTTACCTAAGGTTTATAGGCTTTAGGGTGTTCAAGGTATGCTTCGGTGCTTTAGGCTCCACTTGATCACCCCCAGGCCGTGTAGGGCTGTATTATTCGGTATTTTGGGTTCCTGTGAATTCTCGTGCCCGTTCGCTTCCACGACCACGAATTAAACTTTCAATATATATATATATATATACATATATATATATATATATGTATGTATATATGTATGTATATGTATATGTATATGTATATGTATATGTATATGTATATGTATATGTATATGTATATGTATATGTATATGTATATGTATATGTACATGTACATGTATATGTATATATATATATATATATGTATATGTATATGTATACGTATATGTATATGTATATGTATGTGTATATGTGTATATATATATATATACATATATATATATATAGTATATAGTATATACATGTATAGCAACAGCAACAGAGAGAGAGGGAGAGAGAGGGAGAGGGAGGGAGATGCAGATGAATGCCTCTCTCTCTCTCTCTCTCTCTCTCTCTCTTACTTAGCCTTGCATTTGGTCATGCCTACGCCGACCTCGAAGCTCGACACACCATGCCCTCAACAGGCCAACAGGTCTCCCAGAGGCCAGCCGCTGAAATCTCAACGGTGCTCTGTATGTCAAAGACCTCCCAAACCCACCTGGTCTCAAATCAACACCCACAGGCCCAGCTAGGTTGGCCCTTGAAAGCCTCTGAAAAATATTCGTAAATAGGGTCCTATCTAGCCCAATAAGGGAAAAAATTGTCGCAAAGGCCTACCTAGCCAGATTCGAGCTTCCATGTGCGGCATCCCCGAAGGCTCAGAACAAGCCCTATACTTCCTAGGCTCAACTGAATGATCGCAGTAAGCCCGCGGCTCGTTGTGTCTGGCCGTGGACTCACGCATAATTAAGTGTCAGCCACCTATAGCAGGTGCAAAAGAATTCAGAGGTGCATGCATGAGTACTTATAAGATCCAAGCTAAGCGCTTGGAATTGGTGCTGTTGTGTTCCACATGCTGGCATTACAAAGGGCCGTTGTCGATACAAACGCTAAACTTCGAATCCTTGAATCATGGGCCTAATTACCGCTCCTAAACCACCGAATCACAGACTATACATCAAACCCCAGCCAGCTAAAACAGAACGCTTCAGAACCCTCAGCCGTGAAACTTAACCCCAACCCTGCATTTAAAACCCTAGATCCTGAACACATCAAGCCCACCGCCCCGAAATGTAGACCCCTGGCTAATCAACTCCCACTGTGCGTGTTGAGGTTCAGGGTCAAAGCCCCTGTACCGCTAGCGATAAAAGGACTCATATATTAAGGCTTTCGGGCCCAAATGGCCCAAAGACCATACTATATAAGGCTTTTGTGCTATTTTGACCCCTAGGGTATCGCCCTACAACCAGGATCTACGTTGCCTTCATGTTGAACACCCGCTTGAGTTTTCGATTTCCGGTGTTCTGAGGTTTGCGGGTTTAGGACTGTAGACCGCTGTTGCTCCGGCGTGCTCGCAGATCTTCGCAGATGCCTGAAATACGGAGGTATCCGAAAAGAGGGGACCCTAACATAGTACCCTAAATAGAAGGAGCCTTATCATAAGGACCCCAAAATACGGTACCCCTAATTTTCGGAAGGTCCAAAATACGGAGGTTTTTTCTTGAAATCAGGCACATCAAAACACCCTACACTGGGCTTAGGGCTTCGCCCCACCTCCTGCTTGCCAGCTGCCTCAACGTCCGGGCTGAGACCTGCACTGGATCGCAGAGATGACAGTGTTCTGCAATCGGTGGAGAACCGTCCAGCAATATGAAGGCTTTCATTGTCAACCGTTTTGATACTTCGGTATTCCTTTACTGCACGACTCCATTCCTCATTGATCATGCTGTTCTACTATTCCACATTTCTCTCTTGCTCGTTTGATCGGCTAAACCCGTCTCGATTGATCTTTGAGGCATCTGCTGTGTCACTTTATTTCTGTGCTAATCCGGCCGCTGCTCGATCTCGGGACTGCTGTCTCGCCCAGGGCTCCACAGCGCTTCTGTTGCGGTGCAAGCTTGCCGTCTTGGATCGAAGACTTCTGCGCAAGAGATAACACTTTTACAGAAGATGCGACCAAGACAGTCAGAACAACTTTTGCTTAAACACAGCTCCTGATGATTCTGGACAGGCACAAGTAGTGGGAACCTACCTCTGCGAAGCAAAGTGCAAAACACTTCCAACAACAATAAGGCCCAGCTTAAACGAACCTGAAACTATCCTTTTCGTCCCTGTGTGGTCTCCTTATCGCACATGGTAACCTTGCAGCACGCTTAGTACCCTTACAGCACCGTTGTAGCAACCTAGAAACCCCAAACCCGAAAAAGGACCTCTCGTAGCCCTAAACCCTTCGTGACGTTTTGGTACGCGTAACAACCCTACGGCCCAACACCTCTTTTTTGAGAGCCCTAAACCCTAAACCCTAAACCCTCCTAAACCCTAAACCCTCCTAAACCCTAAACCCTAAGGTGGACCCTGTTGGGGACTGTTGGCTCTCCGGCCTGGCGTGAGGCGACCACAGAGCTTCGCGCTGTGCAGGGCCGCCGGTCCTCGGAGTCCCTGCGGCTCAGGAGCCGGGGCCTCTAGTCTGGATGCTTCTAGGGTTTTGAAGGCCTTTTAAGTTATTTTTTGGATTTCTTAGGAGGTTTGAGGTTTGCGAGTTTGCTCTCAAGGCCTCGAAATGGCTCTGCGGCTGTGCAGTCTGGGGTCTCCCAAGGCTCGGCTTGAACTCATCCTTGGGTTGGGGCAGCCAAAACTACGAAGCTTTGTGTTGCCTGACGATAGGCCCGGAGTTCTCTCCTCTCAGCCATGCAACCTCAGAGAAGAGAGCAGCTGTAGGTCTTAGCTCTTGTAGGGTCGTAGCCTGGCACAAGCGGCGTAGCGGTGGTGTGGCTGCCGCCCTTGAGGGGCGCCATGTCAGTGTCGAGCCTCCCAACTTCAAAGTCCACATCCTCGGCGCGGGCCTTGTGCTTGTGCAGATGTGCATGAAGAGGTTTGGTACTGAGTAGCTGAGGGGCTCCCAAATCGTACCCCACACACATCCAAGCATGGAAAAGAGCTGGGCCGTACACAACAGTGCAAGGCTCAGGGTTCACAATCTTCTCCACATCTCGCTCGGGTCGCACGTGGTCTTTTTAAACTGTCCGCATGTCATGCGAAACGTAGGGGAGCTAGACGGGACTGTACAAGGAACACATGGCGACCCCTCCATCACTTGGTCAGTGCTGGTCACGCGCACGAGACATGATGCTGGCAAAGCCTGCAGGCCAGAGCATGGCCAGGCAGTTGATCTTTTCATGGGCGCCTCATGATGACACATGCCACTGGCAACAGCATTCTGGCGCATGCGGCTTGCCTTTCCAGAAGTTTCCTCAGGATCAAGCCGTGCATGATGGTTGCAACAGAGAGGATAGAATGTGCGAAACGTAATTGGGACGGAATAACATGAAGCGTAAACGCCTGAAATCAGTAAGACAAACCACCGTGCAAGAGCGCGGGCAAACCGAAGCAAGACGCACTGCTGCGATGACAATCGCAGCAGCAGGACTTCTTTCTCACCATCGTGAACAATGGCGATGCCGAAAAACACGTCCAAACATCTACGCAGCTATGCAGTCCCGGCGACGCATCAGGGAGTAAAAGCTAAACCCTAACTAACTTCCGTCTCCTCAGCCAAGGCACTTGGCGGCATCTTGCTCCGCTGCCTTCTTGTTTGCGAAGTTGTCGCTGGTGGCGATCTCCTGTGGAGTGGTCACCTGTCCAGGACATCTGCCCTCAACGCAAACGGGTTAGGGGTTGGATTTTTGATAGGTTGGGCCCTGGGGAAAGCCTGAGGGCAGTCTCGTTGCCACAAACTCGAAAATCTCATCATTCAACGACCCCTGCTAATGAACCTTACCCCAAAAACCTCAACAACCCGAAGCCCTGTTAAGTGGCTGGAATTTGCTTCTGAGAGGTCTCGAAGTCTCTGAATCTGCCGGAAAAAGCTGACAAGAAACTGCCTGTCCCGAAGTCCAAACTGATGTACCTAAAAGATAAGGGAGGCTTCGTAACCAGGTTATGAGAAGGGTGGCAACTCGGATCAACCGAATTGCCAACTAGGCTGCCGTGAATGCAGCCCCCAGGCCCAAGCACACCCCTACAAGGCCCTACAAACACCACAGTCTTACTGTAGTACGATAGCAGGAGTTCTTGACAAAGAGCCGAACTTCTGAAGCCAAATCGTGCCGGATTTTTGTTTCTGGTTGAACAATTGTGTGCAGACAGCACACCGTCCCCATATGAACGCATCTTGCTCAGGAATCCCGCCACAACTTGAAGAACCTTCCTTGATTCAGGTTTCTTTGACGTGTCTGGGATAAACCCAAGCCTGCAAATCTCCCCAAACCTAAGCCACGGAAGTGAACACCCCAACACCCAGAACCTCTCTGACCCTCTGACCCCTGCCCGTACGAAATCATCGGCACTGAATGGGCATGCTCTACAGATCTCTCCGGCAACCTCGCGTGCTGCTTCCACCCATATGTTGGCAAGAAGCGTTTCTTTCTTTGGTTCTGACGTCTTCGAATTCACGGCTTAGGTTTAGAAGCTCTTGGGGTCCAGAACCTAGAACTTAGGATTGAAGAGTCTGGGAACGGCGTGAATACATGACGTCGCCTGCTTATATTGATCCATGAGGAGGACTGCTTATGAGGAAGTCTCAGACATGATACATTAGGAAAGCGTGTTAGCGAGAAGTACGGACAGAGCATCGCCCCTGGCACATGAAAACGGAAGGGCGGCCCCGTCGGAAGCAGTCTGGGAATTAACTTCTTGTCCAGGGCTTAGGGTTTAGGGCCATAGCCTGGCGATTAGTTGGATCAGGGCGTCCGGACTCCGTGCCAGCTTGGCGGTGGGTGAAGTGGAAGCCGCAGACACTTCCCCCAAGCCCGGTGCTTTCAACCGCACAACCCAATGTCCAAATCCCACCATGTAAAGTCCGGAACCCAGGCCTTGCACCCTGATCCGGCCTTCACTGTCACTCTCCAGCCTTGATCATCCATCACCCCCTTGTACTCAAGCAAGTCCTCATAGAGCCATAAACCCGAGACCCTAACCCCAAACCCTGGCCCTATCCCTACAACCCTTTGGAGCATCAAGGACACGCCCGGGCTTATCGAGGCAACACTGAACTTCCGAGTCTCAAAAACAAAGCCACGGCCGAGACAGGTTCAAAAGGTTTCAAGCCGGGTATGGGTTTAGGGCTTACAGGGTTCAGGGTTTATTGCCAAAGCACTCCAACAAGAGAGCAGTTGCAGAAGACGGAAACGAAGCGCTTAAACTTGTGCGCACATGATCGTGGAAACTGGAATCTCACTTTGAACAAAACACCTGGCCCAACGGTGCAGGCACCGAACCTCCAACCAGAACCTGAGCCCGCGCCCTCGAACCTGTCAAGCAAATGGCGCTCAAGTTTTACCAATTTCAGTTACACGACAGGGGCCTTAATGATTAGAATGGGACGTGGAGGTATAGTATACCACATATCTCAATAACGAACCCCCCAAATTAGTATTGGTAATTATCCAGGCGTCTAAACCATAGAGTCTGGGGCTTAGCCAAGGCTAAGGTCTGCACTTGCATGTTGGGAAACATCACGCAATCACAGAAGAAACAGACGAGGTAGATACAGTTTATGCTTGGCTGCTAGTATCGCAACTACCCATTGAATTGGGTCGGGGCAAGCTCCCCCCATGCAAGTTTGATTTCAGGCTTCTGAAATCTCCGATTCTCCGTCTACATCGCAGAGCAGGTCCTGCATCTTCGCATGAGGCGACATCTGCTGAAGGAACTCCTTTCGGAATCCCCTCAATAGTAAGGCTTAGTAAGGGGATTCTGGCCTTCTGTTGAGCGTTTCGAGGCTCTGTGCTGCTTTCTGAAATTGCTTCAGGACTTGAGCTTTGGCGTGCCAGGGGTGCACACATGCAGGCTTGGGCAGTTCCTAAATTCTATTTCGGCAAGTGTAATTTCTTGCCCGCACGTAAGGTTCTACTGTACTGGAATTGCCGACCATCTTCGCAAACGGGCGAGGGTCGCAGGACCCCGCATGCGTGACTAGAGGCTGCACCGAAAAACATGACAAGGACCGGTTCAATGCAACATAGAACAAGAACTAGCAGCCCAACGGCTTGAACCGTAAAACCAACTTGTATCCCGGTTTAGCGTGTCGGGTTCATTAGCGCTCTTAGTAAGAGGAACAAAGCAGCTAGGATTTCTGCATTTTCAACCCTCCTTAACCACCCCATAACATCTGTGTCTCTGAATATGCCGGGAACCGAGATCTGTGGACTCGCGCTGTATGGCCACGCCAGACTACAAAAGGCTGATCAACCCTTCTTACACTTGTTTGCATGCAAACTTTGTGTCATCGCCAGAACATTCACTGCCAGGAAGGGACTCCAATCGTTCTGAACTGGACCTAAACCTAAAACGCCCGAAACAACTCGGCAGACCTGTACGATGAATCCGGAGATCCTTAACCCGAAGGGACCCCTCAAAGCATCCCTGTAAACTAAACTAGAACCTCGACTCCATAAAACCAAAACCCTAAAACCTCTCCAAACCCTAAGACTCCAGACTCTGGACTCTATAGACCCAAACCCAAAGCCCCGAAGAATTACAACCCTGCCCAGCTTGAAAAGCACTCAACCCCGAACCGCAATTTCTTAAATTCCGCCCTCCTCATCACGAAAAAAAAAAAACAAACATGATACTGCAATGAGGAGACACATAGAATCCTTGACAACCAGGCCCCCTGCTCCTGGAGGGCACCTTTGTAATTTCCAGCTTTGGGCTCCACGTTCCGAGCGAAGCTTCCGGTGAAGCCTTTCATTGTTTGGGGTTTAGGGCTTATAGGGTTTAGGGTTTGGGGTTAAGGGTTTAGGGTATATAGGGCTTACAGGGTTTATAGGGTTTTTTAGGGTTCGCGACTTAAAGGTTTATAGGGCTTAAGATCGAAGGGTCTACGGGTTTAGGATTTGAAGGCTTAGCGTGTGTAACCTGTGTTGCCCTTGCTTGCGCCTACTGGCACAGGAAGTGTGGTCTTAGACAGCTGTCGAATCACACAGTGAACGAGTTATATACGTCGCCACGCACAATGCGCGTCCTGCCATGCGCAACCCTGGGAGTCCGTGCAGCTATTCAAAGCCAACGTACGGCTGCTTTGTTTCGGGTTGGCCGTTAACTTTCAGCCGGCATGCGGATTTTGAGCGCTTAGGGAGGGCTGAGTACAGGGCCGAGGTGATAAGACTTGGGGGACTTTTCTTTGTTGTAGGTTTTCGGGACTACAAAAAAATAAATATCAGGGCCTTACTATCTAGAACAGGGTTTGGGGGGATTTTCGGTATATATGTACTGGCCATACCGGGACATCACCACGAAGACCTTCCGGGGGAAGGATTTTGGTGGGGTCTAGGGTGAAGTGTTAGGGGCCCGGATTGGCAAAGGTGCTGTTGGGTCTTGGACGTTTCTCTTGGGTAGGGTGTCCTTTTGATGCAGTCCAGAACAGGCTTTGGTTCATGATGGTTCACGTAGTGCGTGTTTGCTGTCATAAGCTCTAAATGAACAGCTTACACTTTGGGTTGTTTCCCCTCTCGCATTGGGTTAAGGCTTCGGGCTGTCACATTGTAAGGTATCAAAGCTCTCCCTCAAAAAATACCTAAACCGGCTGCCCAGAAGCGCAGCTTCTTCGGAGGTGGTCCTTCGCAGCACTTCGCTGCAGCAAGCCTGCAACGCCCGCGACCTAAAAACATAGAGGAAACCCTAAGGGTCCATCTACCCAAATAGCATATGATTATACTTTGTGGGACATGGACCCTGAACAAAGTGTACTTAACAAAACGTCTGCTCAGGTTATCAAATATGGGTTAATCACTCGGTTACTGCAAAGGCTACGAGTAAGGTGACTACAATGGTTTTTTAGAATGGGTTCAGAGTTCAGGGCATAAGCCTGCAAACCCTAGACCCTACAACCCCCGAGTGCTAAATCGTCAACACCCAAGTCCTGCACTGCAAAGCCTATAAACCCTAACCCGTGCACTCGTAGCTTCAGGCTCGGGGCTGTTGCCACTCTCCAAGTTTACCGAGCAGCTCCCTTGCTTTTACGGTGGCAATGTTCCGGTCATCCAGATATCCTCTCCTCCGCAGTATGCCTTAGCAGCCGTACTATCGGGGCCTTAATACTCGATTAGAATAGGGTTTTGCGGTATATTCTACTACACTTTTAATCAGGAACCCCCCACAATAGTGATGATAGTTATTTAAGCCCCTACAGTAGGCAGCTTGAAGGCTTAAGCGATTTCGAGCAGGGAACCTAGCTTTTGCTTTCCTGAGCCATCGAAAGCTTCAACCATACACCCCTTTCAAAAGCTAGGGTTTAGGGTTTAAGGTCCACAGCCGGTGAAAGAAGGACGCCGAAGCCTTGGATCCGTTGGCTGGAACCCGTCAACTGCGACAGCTTCGTTAAAGCCGTGCCTGTACTCATCAACACTAACACAGCATGGACCATGTCATAAAAGGGGCACGAATAGTTGTAGGATAAGGTTTGGGGGTAAATGACTCTGGCATATACAAAAGAACGAACCCGAAGGAATAAGTTGTAGTGCCAGCGGTCTCTGCTTTTCGCGGCTACACCTTGCCAGCAGCCCTGAAGACTCGCTGCCTCGACTCCCCCCAACTTTAACCTGAACACCCCGAGATCCCAAAGCAAGAGTCTCTGAGACTGAAGCCCTTGACCCTAAAGGGATGAAGGCACCCCCAAAAATGTCCAAAAACACATGTGCACAAACAAAAACGAAAACAGACCTTAGGGTTTAGGGATCCCCAGAAGCCTGAAACCCTTACCCGCGAAGCCCGGACGGTCGGCTTCCTATGCCGGGCCGCAGGCGGCAACGTAGAGAGAACGTCTCTTCGCTCGATCCGCCTTGGAGAAGTTGTCCAGCCGCTCCTGCTCAGGACTTGAGGCTTCAGGGCTTTAGGATGAAAGAAACTTAAGCTTTGCTCAGGGTTTGGCGGCTTGGCGTCAGAGTTTAGGACTTGCGTTTCGCTTAGGGATTCGTGATCTGGTGGCTCAAGCTTTCTGTTTGGCTGAGGGGGCTTGCAGGGTGCTGAACCTCAGGGAGCCTTTTTCAGCAGCAGGGTTGTCCCAAAATCGACTTACACTCGGAACCTTGAGATCCCGAAACCCTTCGCCTACCTGGACCCGACAAACCCGGAGCATGCAAAAAGGCAGGATCGTGCCAGGGTAATGTGGGCTACAATACGACAGAAACCGTATTGAGAATTTCCGCTTTTCTGATAAGATTAACCTCCTAACAGGGCTTAGGCAAAATCTGCAAGCTCCTTGTCGATGACTTGCTGGAGACTCACACCTCTGGGCTTACGATATTCAGTTCAAATTAAACTTTGGGCATTTCCACGCACCCTAGGAAGATTCATGAATACAATCTGCTTTGGGGGCATGCGGCATGCTATGTTCTGGTACAGTCTGGTATAGCTTTAATTTAAATGGCTGAGAATAACCATACACGGGCACCATTACTAGCTATGAAGCCCTTTAATGACCATTATACTACACCCTGGGCCCATTCATGGCGTAGATGCTGTGACATGAACATGGAGGCTCTACGAGCAAAGATCCAAAGCTTATTATCCCCTGACGAATGGGTGGAGGTTTCCCGTCAAAATAAAAGCCTAACGCATCAACACGAGAATAGGGCATGCTACAACCGCGTGGGTGAACACACACACACACACACATGTGAAACACGTGCTGTTCAAGTGCGTTTCGTTTCGTCAGTTCCGGGTTGATGTCTATCTAAAACCCTCTCTTCTATTGTTTAACACTTCCCAAGGCCTTTTTGGATAAAGGGCTGTAGCCAAGGGCTGCGGAGTTCCAAGGAATTGTTCCAACAGCTGTGGAGTTGAAGCAGACGGCAGTCTTTGTTTTGTTGTGTTTCGTGCTACCCTTCGGTCCACCGACATCTCTGAGCATAGCTGACAGGAGCTACATTCCCGCTTCGTGGGGTCAGCGTGCAGACAAGAGATCACCATAACACCGGACACCGGTCACATTTTCGGAAGGACGAGTCATGTACAGGTTGCAAAGCATTGTGTCGGCTGTATGATACAAGGGCCTTGATGATTAGAATCGGGTCTTGGGTGTGATTTCTACTTACAAGAATTTAGAAACAACTTTAAGGAACCACTAACTAATATGATATGAAAAGTTGTTTCACATGCTATTCCATAATATCACAATGCCACTTGGGCCATCCTGTTTCTCGGGCTGACCAAATTCACTGCTCAGCAACGGTTAGCCTGTGCCAAGATGTGTTCTGCCTTTTTCTTGTATGTGACCCGAAGCCAGAAACCCCTAACATAACCCCACCCTGCACTTCCTAAGCGCCCCACATTCAACCTCAAACCCCTGCAACCCTGAATCTTAAAACCCACAGTTAAGCAAGCCCTTACATAAGAAAAAAACAAAGCACCACCCACATCAAAAGCAATCAACCCTGATGTCCGTGCCTTTCCAATGCTCGTCGATCTCCTGGGATGTTATCACCTGTCCACCCCCGTGCCGCTCAAACTCTCATAGTACAGGGGCCGGAATGATAGTATACCCTTTTTTTTCTATAAGGGGTACTATGAAGGCTTGCATTTAATTACCCTGCGCAATAGAATTGGTAACGACTCCGACCTCGATACTATCTCAGAAACCAGAAGGTTACGGGTGATGTAAGCCAGCCAAAACAACCTGCTGCTGTTCCTTCTGTTCCTTGCTTTGTCAACTTCATAATTCCACTACCTGTGCCGTCACGACTAATTCTGTACTGCTGGTGCTCGCTGCACATATTAGCTGACTTTCGTCCCGTTTCCGAACTGCCTTCAGATTAATCAATCGAATGTTCTTCAGGGTTGCCAGACCTGCTCTGCTCTCAACGCCCGCAAAGGCCTTTAAACCCTGAACCCCAAGCCTTGAATGCCTAAACTCGGGAATGAACCCCCAACACCATCCACCCTGGCGTTCCAGTCAAGGCGCAATTGTTACAAGTCGCATTGCCATTCTCATTCGATAATCCTTACTCATTACACTCCTTATAAACCCTGAACGGCAATTAACTATCCCTTAAGCCTTAGCCTTCTTATCAATCAGGTTCATAAAACCCCCCAAAAACTGCCCTTCTTATCATTACGATTCCTATCCATGGCCTGGAAGCCCTCAGGCGTTGGCACCCGGACGGCTGGCCGAGACGTGTCCATCTCCTCGATTAGGATTCACAGAGCTCTTCGGTGTTTGAGGATTGCTTGTTCCAATCAGTATATAAGGCTTTCAGGCTTCAGGGCGGAGGGGATGTAGAAGCCTTTGTGGTTATAGGGTTGGGGATTCTGAGCATTTCGAAGGTCCCAGTTCGCCCCGGCCGAGGGGAGTAGGACTTTAGAGTAGTGGATTTGAGACATTCGAACCTGGCAATTGAAGCCAAGTTGTTAAGCACCCAACGAGCCGGGAAGATCTCACGCTTCAGTCAGGCAAAGAGTACCAAGGAAGGCGCCCTAAAACTTTGAGTCTTTTGACGCGCATGCTCGGGAACCTCCAAGTAGTGGTTTGCCGCGATGGGGCTTGCACCTCCATTCACCCTCGCTGGAATACTTAGAGCAAAAGGGTTCGGACTCCGTAAAGCTGTTCTGAAGCCAGGAACAACGAAGGACCGACTGCCTTACCTACATGTTTGTTTCTTTACGCTATCCTACATGGGAGTTTTTCAGCGGGGAGTTCTGTTCATTCAGCCCAAACTCCATTTAGTAGGAACTTTTGGTATTGTCGGGACACCCCTGCACTTTGAAACGTTGAAGAAACGGCTAAACCCTACGCTTCGCAAAAGAGGACATCCGCAAAGACTGGCCGCGGCCGCGTGGGCTGGGCAAATTTTACGGGTTCAGCGATTAGTGGCCTTCTAAAGGGCTACGGCGGCTACGGTTTCGGGTCCGGGGTATTACAGCTTAGGGCTTAGATGCTGTTGATCGAGATGGAGACTGTTTTATGGCAGTAGCCCCAAGCCGTATGTTCAGCAAGTCTAGCGTGGAGGACTTGAGCATGCTGCAAGAGCAACCAGGTCTCAGCGCCACCGTAATTCGGAAAAAGCCCTTCTGATCGAAACGCCTCGGAAGGTGGAGTTCAGCGTTTCTCATGTTTCATCTCCACGAATAGTCAGATAAACGAACTGAGGCCGCACTATGCAATGTGTTGTTGAGTTCGTAGTGAACTTGCAGAGGTTCTCAAACTTTTCTCGCAAGTGCCGCCTGAAACACCGAACACCCATTCGTATTAGTATCAATATCAGTATTGGTATTAGTATTAATATTAGTAGTGGCAGTAGTGTCCAATTGAACTCCGCACCAGCCCTCTTCCAACCGTGCGGAGTGAAAGGCTTTGCATCTCATGGTTTAACTCGCTGCCCACGTTGGTTCCGCGCCCTCAAGAATCTTCTCCTTGCTGTCCGTCTCACTTTTCGCTCTGACCCTTATGTACTACTGCTGCTACAACCAGGTGCTACCGAACCCACACGCCTACATCCAACCCTAAACCCTTTCGCACAGACTTGTATATGCCTGCCTGGATGTCGGATACCCTATTTTGAAACCGGACTTGATCTCAGATACCCTTTTTTCCACAGGCTTGATTAGTGCTCGCCCGGCCAGAATCCCCAAGCACATCGCACTCGTGGCGAGATGCCCTAAAACCTGAACCCTATGACCCTACATTTAAATTCTCGAAGCTTAAACCCTAAGCACCGCCCAACGCCCAACTCCGAGCCCACCTCCTTCAAGACTTGTTGGCACCAGTCCGTCACAATGGTTTGGCCTCTGGCTTATAGGGGCCTTAAGCCTTAACAGCTACAAGAGTGTTCCTTAACACACCGCTACAGTCTATGTACAGTTTAGCGTATAATAAACCCCAGAACCCTATTCTAAATATTAGAGCCCCTGCATGAGGATGATTTAGGCTGTAGGTCGTTCTCAGGAGGGCTTCAAATCTACAGGCTTCGGGCTTCAGGGGTCTTTCGCAAGACCAAGCGCGGGTGGACCACCTGAAAGCCCAAAAGTGATCATGTCAGAAGTCATACTGCGGCTTCTGGCTGAAACACCTAGAAATGCTGGGAAGCCGCTTCGTTCACCTTGACCGGATAAACTCTTGAATTGGGCTGGCCAGACGCCAGAAAATACCACCCCTAAACCCAAAAGCCCTAAACCCCAAATGTTTAAGCCCGTCAAAAATCATGTCGAACGACTGGATACAACAGAAAACAAAAGCCCAAGAACGACTCCTAAACCCCAGGCTTTAGAAGGGGCCCCCACCCTGAATAGTGGTATAATCGGAATATAACCGGGCCCTAATATAATCATAATCCTTATAGTCACCATTACAGGGTGGGGGCGCCTTCTAACCCAGGCTTGTGAAACCTCGAACCTCTCCCAGCCGAGGTGCAATTGAAAAAGTCGATGCGCTGCCCGTGCCCATCATTGTCAAACCTGAGTTGCTCTACGAGACCCTTTCAGAATCATAACTTCTTCAGAAACTATCGGTCAAAAATGGAAGGTGTTCCCAAGTAAACCTCGTGCCGCCTTCTGTGCTGAAATCGAAACTTCACACAGTTCTACAGAAAGGCCTGGAAACGGGTAGATGCCGGGCACCGCGCTTCTTCGCCTGTTGCCTCGGCTCTGAGGAGCCGCCCCGGTAAACTCCAAAGAGGGCTGGTGTTTGCGATCTTTGTGTACGTGACATCAACGAAAAGATGGTGCCACAAAGGGTTCCACCACAGCGAAGAACAGCGAATTCTTGATGGCAAAGACATAGATACTAATGTTTCAGCGGCGTGAGCGCAGGCTGCAGAGGGCCAACCATGCGAAGATCTCAGCAACATATGTCTGCTGCTGGGCTGCCCGAAGGTGGTGCCACGTGTAAAAGAGGGCTTGTGAAAAAAGTGGCGGACCCATTGAGTAAGTATCCTAGTCTGAGGGGTGATTTGGGTAACCTAACTGTCAGAAACTCCCATGTGAAGGCTTAATTGCCTGGGTTTTGTTAAGGTTGTTGCATGGTTTGTTGCGATTTCTCTGTAGTCTCAGCAACTGTGCACCTTTACACTCACCGACGGTCACGAGGAGCCCCACAAGATCTCTCAAACAAGCTAAACCGTAGTAAAGCTTACCTGAATATACTGTCGAAAAGAACATTGCTCAGTTCGGGCACACAGAGCCCGGAAGGGTCTGGCTTACCTTCCCGCATGTGGCCTCAACCTTTATCCCGCATGGGATCAAGTCCGAAGCAAGGAAAAAGAAGAACAACTTCACGTTGCGATAGAGACCAATGCCCCTGATAGGGTCCGTATGACGGGTCTGGGGCAGTTTAGGGTCCACTTCCGCTGCAGCCAAGGGACGATGGAGAATGTCTCCTTGGTCTGCGAGGGTGGTGGGCTGAGGTGTTTGGACTCTCGCAACTAAATGAGCTCTTGTGGGACCAATGCTCCTGATTCAGGCGTTTAAAATTTGGGGCTAGAGCGTAGGTTTAGGATTTGAACTTGCGGGTTGTGGGATAAAGCTTTAGAGTGTGTTGGGTTACAAAGAGGGCTCAGAAGCCAAGACTTTGGATTCGCGTCTATTTAATGTGTATGTAGGTATGTGGACTCTTGCTGGGCGACCACCTCAGGGCCTGGGCCGGGTAGACTGCAGAAGTCACAAGTTCTCGGATGCTGTCTCTGGGATCAACAGAACGTGGGGCGAAGAACAACAAGAACCATACCACGACAAGAACAGCAACTATAAGAGGAGTGCAGCCCAGCAGGAATCAACACCAAACTCCCTCCAAGCACGACGATCGTCCTCATGCGGCACAAGCGAGATAAAATGCCGATGACACCAGCATTGCCGGACAGTTAGAGCAAATCTTTCAGGCACCATCCAGCGCAGGCTCAAAAACAAACTCGCTGCGAATTCCCACGAAACAGAACTCTAAACTTGCACCCTAAACCCTGGACCCGAAATCCTTTTTTTGAACGTAGTAACGAGGTGTCTCTGAAGCGCCTCCAGGTTGCCCGAAACCCTGAAGACCCAACCCTAATCTAACAGCCACGACGCGTTCCTCCTCGTTCAGCTTTAGCCGGTCATCCTCCAGGAACGACTCTTGAAGGGTTTCGACTCGCACAGCTGGGTGGATCGGGTGTGATGATATCGAGCTGACGGTTATGCTTCTGCTCTTGCTACACCCGGTAAGAACAAGCGTGTTAGTTGCCTTGCTGGTTGTCTTGATTCTTCAGGGGCGCACATGATGCTTCACCATCGAGAGGAGTACACAAAGAAAGAGTGATTCATCGAGAGGGGCCTAGGCGTGCTTCCGCTCTCGGCTCTCAGCGGGAAGCCAATCTTGGTTCGTGCTGCTTTTCCAACGAGAACCACGTACACACACCTTTAAACCTACATACATATATGTATATGTACCTATCTGTGTATACATCTGTTCGTCTGTCTGCATGTATGTATGTGTGTAGCCTATATCTATATCTATCTATCTTCGCTCTCTCTCTCTCTCTCTCTCCCGCTCTTGCTTTGAGAACCGGGGGTTCTCCATGAGGCTCTTTAAATCTACCGCTCTCGGGTCCCCTCTGAGAAGCCCGAAAACGAGTGTCCCTTAACCTTAACCAAAGCTGGCGCAGGCATTGTGAGTGAGCTTTACACATGATTTCCGCTAGTTGCAGCTTCAACTATCATGACATACTGTCGAAAACGCTCTGTGCAGGTGCACTCGGTCTTGTTTCTTCTCCTGCTTCCTGCAATACGGTGTAGCGTGCCTTGGCCACGTTCGTCATGACTGTTGCCTTGCTCGCCTGGCACGTGCTGAACGGCAGCACTGCATCAAGGGGTTTTTAGCTGGGGCTGGTTGGGGATTTCAGGGTTTGCGGATTCTTCGGGTTTTACCTGCAGGCCCTAAACCGGCCCGGCTGTGCTACTTGACCTTCAGGGCTGGAGGCAGGTGGACCCAATCTCGAAGCAAGGACCCCCCCGAGTGTTCACAAAGCCCATGGGAGTTTAGGGTGTCTTGGAGCTCCGCGTGCCATTACTGTATCCTTGCTTATGTTCACCCTGTACGGAACCCTTATAATTTGTACCCTTATAGACTATATTATAACTAGAGCCTTTTACGGCAGCCCTCTGGCCTCCTCATCGGGGTCGTTCTCAAAGTATATGATTTCAGCTTGCTGGCTTCTCGCACGACCACTGCCCTGAATATGCGCCCTCGTCGTTGAAAACCAGTCGTATCCTGAGTGCTGTCACCGCGCCGAAAGGCTGTGAGCAAGTTGGCAAAGGATCCTCTGCGTTTTGGGGTTCAGCACGCTGTGCAGCGATCAGATCATTGCTTTCATTCGTTTCAAAATGCCGCTGAAGCTGTACCAAACAGAACTCCACCAACCATTTCTTGTTTCGTAGCCATGTCTCAGCTTTTCCTTGGCTGCTTCTAGCCTGAGCATTAAACTCGCGGAAACCCAAACCGCATTTTTTTCCATGTAGGCCTCTGCAACTGCCACTTGAATCGAACCCACCCAAACCAGAAACCTGAAACACCAAATTGCCAAAAACCCTTTATGAACATCTGAGATCGCCCCACTTACTATATACAGCCAATGACTACATTACACTACACCATCTTTCTACATACAGACATGCATACATACATCACATTACATCACACATACACACGTTATTGTTCCTAAACTGATCTAACAGGAACCAGGGATTCACGGCAAGGCGCACACACCAGCTCATCCTTATGGTCGTCTCACTGCTATCGCAATGTGTGCAGGCATGGCGCGAACCACCCAGTTGCAGTCGCAAACATCAATACCTGCAAGCTGCAAACGAACAACCTGTTTTGACAAGTTTACACTGCACCCGAAGCCCTCAATCCCAAAGCCTGAGTATCCCAGCTGCCATGGAAGAAAACCCGAGGCACCCCGACAAGTTCATGACAGAAGCGACAAATTTGTGGCGAAGGGAGTTTTGGACTTCGAAACTTGGGTCTACAGCGATGTCATGGTCCAGAAGCGTTTAGTTTAGGGCTCCATGGTTTGGGCGTTACGGCCTTTATGCTACTATAGGATTTCGGAGATGAAAGCCTGAGGAGCCAGAAACTCGACCGAAATCCCACTTGAAGGGGGCTGTGGATTCCGGGCATCCAAGACGACAGCCTACAACCACTTGTACTAAACCCAACCCTTCCCCCTAATGATACTTCCATACACAGGCTGGTGCAAACCCCCAAGCCCCATTTCTCTTAACACAAGTCCCTGTATACACCCCAAGCCCCAAGGTACCAACGTCTGATATCCTCAACAAGCCATAAATCAAAGGGGAAAAGGAGGGACCCTAATGGGGACCCCTACCCTACAATTGTCTATTAAGGGTATATACCTAGGGGTCCTCATTAAGGGTCCCTCCTCATTAAGGGTCCCTCCTTTTACCCTTGGAATAAATGCAGATCCCAAATCCCGAAGTCCCAAGCCGGAGCAACCAGAGCAGAAGGAACCCGGGGTTCTTGCAAACGGCCTGCAGATGCCCATGGCGAATCTAGCAGTGCCGGTGAAAATCGTGATTGTGGTGCTGGAAAAAGATGGCGAGGATGGCAATTGACAACAAGACTAGGAGTGATCGTAAGAATAACGATGACAAAAGACTGACAACGATGATGAGCATGGACAAGTGGAGTACCTTCAGCCTTATCTTCTTTCATGACTTTGCACAACACCGCAGAACAGCCGTTGTGAACTGGTGCGACTGCTGGGTTGCGACAACAAGCAACCCTTCCTGGTTTAGCGTTTCGGTTCCCACACCCGCTTTGGAATCTGTCAGGGCTTAGGGCATACTGCTTTCTGTCATCCGCGATCTTGTCAACAATGAACTGTCACTGGCACACAAGTACCTATCAGACACTAAGAAGAGCTGACAGTTGAACACCTATTACTCAATCGCCTGTTTCATCCGAGACGTGGAAGCATACGCCCCAAACCCCGCACGTGGCAGGCCTTCTTCGAGGGAGTTCGTTGAAACCACCACCTCCGGATCACTGGTCACAGGGCTCGGGCTTTCTGGGAAGGCCTCAGCCTCAGGGTCCGGATTTGCTGCCAAAATGCTGCAAAGAACGGCACGGAGATGTTTCAATGCAGCTATTTCATGCATCCACCCCACCTTGATCTGCCCCTCTCTCAGCTTGAGCATGGTGCGGTCCGTATCTTGCTTCGTCATCTGGCCGTATAAGGCCTCAACCACGTGCCAAGGACAACGTTGCACAATCAACACTGTCAGTGATCCTCGGCTTAAGTCAATGCTGAAAGACGGGATGCCGAAACGTAGTCGACCAAGCTTAATCCCGTCATCCCGTTATGCAGTCTCGGTCGAGCACCGAGATCTTCCAGCAATGTTCGCAAAAGCGCAGTCCTATCGCGCGGCGGCGCACAGAAAGTCTAGGCTCTGGATAATCAGACAAATTCCCGTGACCATTGCAGCCAGACTCTAACCAAGAAACCAGAAAAATGCTCATCGCAGCAGCCGTTGCAATGATGGGCGGTGCGACGAGCAAGGCCCGGAAGCGCAAGCTTCAACAAACAGAGCAGCGGCTGCAGACAGGGATCTTAACACTAAGCTCCTAAGAGAAATCTGATCTGTTGAACAGGGGTCTACATGAATATCTCCTCTAGGAATCCGTCTAACAGCTGGACAGCCTTCTTCTACCTGTTGGAAATGACCCCTTTCGGCAGCGCCTCGGCAATGCTTTCACCAGCATCGCGATTCAATGCCATGGCCAAGGGCACGGTCAGCGCCACCTGAACTTGAAGACTGTGGTTTGCGGTTTCTGTTGGTGCGAGGGAGGTCCTTCTTGTTCAGGGTTTCGGGTTGAAGAGTTTAGGACTTAGATTTACGTCGTGTTTGCGGTTTAGGCTTTAGAGTCTTAAGGTTGATGCTTGTCGCTGCTAAGGTAAGGTTGGCCCTGCTCGAGGTGATGGTGCCAGACGTAACACTTCTCCGGTTCGATCCATGTAACCATGACTTCAACCTTAGCCTTAGCTGGTGCGACTTCTCGAAACCCTCGAGGCATGTCACCCAAACCCGTGAGCCCTTGCAACTTGAAGTCTCCCAACTCGGAAACCCTGAACCATGAAGCCAGGCCCTCCCCCCAATTACTTCTGGCAGCGGGCGAACAAGCTTTGAAAGATGATAGCAAAATCTCAGGGTAACTACGGGCATGTCAGGACATATTATATATGTACATATGATCACCTCATACAATCTCAGATAGCTTGTGATGAAATAATGAAACAATTCTCCGTATACAACCCGGAAGCGCTCTGCCAGGATCGAGCGGTATGACTGCCATAAAAACAAGCAGGGACCTGGCGGTGATGATTTGTGAAGTTGGGGAATGCCACATCAACATGCTGTACATATGTCCCTTATAAACACATCGAGCCGCCAAACCAAACCCATCAAGCGTTCATCCAAAAACCAACGCGACTAAAACAAATCCGCCTGCAAAACCCTGAAACACTAAGCCTTAAACCCGGTGCCCGCCCTCTCCACGAAGATGATGCCTTTGCCACTTTTCCGCGGCTCCTGGCGCTCAGCTGCTCTTGGCGATTTCGGGCTCTTGGGGTTTAATACAGCCATTGCTTGCCGGGATCATCATGTAGGAGATCATAACTCTACGGGCTTCAAAAAGCTAAAGGCAGAGGATACAGTTTAAGCTTTAGGGCCGAGGAGTTTAGGGTCTAGGGGTTGTGTCCGGGGCTCAAGGCTACAGCAGCCACTAAGACTTCTTCTTCCACCACTACTACTATTATGACGACGACTGATAGTTTTGCTACAAACTCCACAAGCTGCCACAATGCACGAACTACAGCGACTACTACTACTACTACTACTACTACTACTACTACTACTACTACTACTACTACTACGACTACTACGACTACTACGCCTACTACGACTACTACGACTACTACGACTACTACGACTACTACTACTACTACTACTACTACTACTACTACTACTACTACTACCACTACTACTACTACTACAGATTTAGAACAGCACGCCGCCGACGACAACGACCACCACCACGACCAGAACGACGACAACGACGACGACTACTGCTACTAGTACTGGGAAGGAGCGGCCCACCTTGCCCGCTCACGGGTGTTTCTGTGGATTTGCTACGTGACCTGATGTCAGAAACCCTTCTGACGACTTGTTTTGCATAGCTCACAGTCCTCCTGAAGCAAAGCTTGGAGCTTCAGCAGTTTTGTGGAAACAGTCGGGGATCTCTGTACCTCGCAAGTAGCAGCCGCCAGCATAAACGATTCGGTGCAAGCGCCCTTGATGCCAGCCCCCGGCAGCCTGAGACGCGGCCTGAAACCCCTACCCCTTCAATTCTTCAACTCCATGACCCTACTTGCGGTCCCCCCCTTCATCAAGCAAATCAAAACATTGCATCTCTGGATTCGTTCGAAAGGCTGTGGCCAAAAAGTCCTGCATCCCTGTTGCCCGATGGATGTCTCTTTTACAACTGCACTGAGTGCTGCTCTGCCCAGGAAAACCTTGAAACTTGCCAGACGAAACTTTCGATCCTCAAATTCCCTTATCTCATCTTGCTTGGATGGACGAAGTGCGGAGCCACACAGGAATGGGCGACTTCAACCACTAGGGCCACTAAGGGTGAGTCATGCCATTGGAATACCCTGGGCGACGCACAGAAACGCACGGAGATGAATTCCCTCCATTCATGGCGCCAGGCCTGAACTCTAAAACAGGTACCACTTGGGGTGGTTGCTTTTGTGTGAAAGACGCCGATGGAAATTGTTTGGGAGTGTGGGGTATCCAACCATGCACTGGATGGTGGATAAGCCACTGCCTCCGTGTTGGGAAGCACCCCTCCAAAGAAATTACTGCCACTGCGAGGCGCGACAGTGTAGACTTAAACTCTAAGCCCAGCCCTAGACCACCGAATGAAACCACGGATGGAACCTCCTAAACCCCAAGCCCTAAACCCTAAAGGCCCGAAGGCTTAAATCCCAAATCACCCAACGGCCAAGGGTGCCGAGGGCAGCTGCATCATCTCTGGCTCCAGAGCTTTCAAGCACTTCTCCAGCCTCGAGAAGTCGGGTTGTCGGGCCTAGGGTTTATAGGGTTTGGGGGTTTAGAGTTGGTTCTTAGGTCCTTGGGTTTTGGAGCTTATAAAAAACTTCTGCTTTTGAATCAGAGTTTCAGAGTTTAGACTTCGGCTTATTCCTAACCAGCTGGAAGTGTTGTGGACCCACCAACAGCACTGGCATCACCGGCACCAGCCGCGGCATAGGTGTCATCGTCATCGTCGCTATGATTTTCAGAACCACAATATTGACAGTGATTCAACAGTGCGGAAACATGCTGCGCATGCAAAACCGGGCTTCTGAGATATTCAGTCACAGAAAAACTTGGGGGATGGGGAGCTGCCGTTTGAAGAATGCTTCAAAGATCATTGGGTACTAAACAGAAGCCTGAAGTAACAAACCATAGAGTCTCAGAGGTGAGACTTCATCAGCCTCCCATGTACACCCCCCAAAACCCCAAAAAACATGTTGTAAACAAACTTCAGCTTCTCAAGTCGGTCACAACGGGTGTCGACACCAAGGCAAGGAGCACACCCAGCTTTCCCAGTAGCTCTTTCCTTATTTCGGATTTGCGATTTGGGGCTGTTTTACCTTGGCTTCAGGGAGGTTCTATTGTTAAATTAGGGTGCAAGTTCTTCATGCGCTGGTTGCGAAAACGAGACTTGCCGACAATAGCATACGTTTCACACATGACGGTCTCCGGCATTGTACGGCACCGCGCAGTCTGGACGGCTATGGATAGGACTCGCAGGCTTGGCTAGCGGAATGCCTCTTGGAAGTGATTGCGGCCTGTACCCCTGCTTCTGCCGGCAAAAGCTGTTGACAATATTCACCGCTGTTTGACATCAGCTCGGTTGATTCCAGAATGTCTCCTGGATGATGACACGAACCTACGAGTAACGTACTGAACACTGTCTGTCGTAAGCCTTGAACCCTGCGCCGTAAATCCATCAACCCTCAAGCGCTGATCTGTGCACCTTCACCCAGTTCTGTCCGTGCGTTTCGGAGGTTTATGGTTTTGAGGCCTCTAATGTACGCCAGAATCATTGGTACCGGGTTTTGGGCCATTGGAGGCCGTGTAATTTTTCAGATCCGCGACATATCCACCCTACATCATAAACCCTGTGTAAATCCTAAAAGCCCCAGGGGGTTTGAGGGGAGTACCGAGGCTCATCTGCTGACGATCCTCCTCGGGGAGCTGCTGCAATTCCAGCAACTCCTAAGAAAGCGGCCGACAGAGGGTCTAGTTTTGACTCTCGCAACTCGGACTCTGGAGGGGAAGGTCTAGAGTTTAGAGCCTGGGGTCTTCGGCTTGAGGTTTGGCTGGGTTTGGGTTTGGGTTCTGCATTTGCGGAGTTTGGATTTTGGGGCGTATTGTCTTCGGGCTTGTATGGGGCTTGACGAGACAGCTGGGGAACCAGGATTCCTTTGGAGCCAGCTACACGCAATTCGTGATGATAGCAGCAACTATCGTTGAGTTGTAGTCATGCACAGTCAACGAGGTAGGACCACAACAGTCAGAATCACGCAGGAGGGCGACTATCAGCGACGCGATGCAATGCTACGAACACCAGCAGCCGTAAGAAGCAGCAGACCACGAAGGAACAAGTAAACACTCTCTCTAAGTCCCGAAAAAACCGAGAGTTCGAAGGCGATGACAGGCGAATATAAAATGTAAACATGTGATATAGCAGTTTTGCTCCTGGGCGCGATCTTACCGGCTTGACAGGGCTATGCACGAGCACCCGCCTAGCTGGAACCGCAACAACAGCAGGCAGCAGTCGACACAGCGACGCCAAGAAACAAACGATTCTTCTGCTTGCCTGAGAAGAACCAATTCTGAGAATCGAGAAAAGCGGTGCACGGCCGATGTAAATCTCTGCCGCCGCAATGCTACACCTACATACACAAACCCTTCAGCCGCTTAAGCCCGAAACCACCAGAATTAGTTAAGCCAAGGAGTCTGTGATGTTGCGCTCGAACTGCTTCACGATGCACTTCTGCACCTCAAGGCTCGGGACTCGATCAAGTCTATATATATATATATATATATTTATTTATTTATTTATTTATTTATTTATTTACTTATTTATTTATTTATTTATTTACATCTTACTAGATACTAAACTATATATTTCTATAAGGTACTGCAATGTACGAAAATTATACTATAGCTTTCTACTGCATGTTTGGGGAGTAGGCATGGCGGCCTCATGAACTACCAAGTGGTATGAGCCGCTCATACTCTTCGCTTACTCAGAAGCTCCATCGTGAAACGGCCACGAAACTTCCCGACAATTGCGCCCGGTGGCTCCAAATTCCAAATTCAAGATCTTTCCGCTTGTGGCCTTTGAATGAGGAGCCTTTCTCCAGGAGACATGGCACGTAGTCTTGCAAGCCTCTTCTGCCCATCTGCATCAGGACATGCTGCATGCGGTACCCCATCTTCTTGAAATCCTGCCGGCACTTGCAGGAATCCTCAAATTGGAGCTTTGGACTTCAAGGGCTTTGGGGTTCAGGGCTTCGGATGACTTTGCTGCAGGGGCAACCATCCTGGGGCCTGTGGCCACACACTTTCGGGACCTCCACGGTTGCCATGAATCATTCCCAAACCATACCTGAGCCACGTCTTACACATAAATTGTGGAGTCATAATATTTTTCCACCCGCTTAGCTGACCAAGTCCTACATCACAAACGACTGTGTGCAGTGCGTTATGGTGTAGTAAAGTATTGTATAACGCCTGAATAGCTGAAGACCTAAACTCGACGTCGCTCTCCACGGCCGCGAAAGCCTAACACCACGAGCCGGAAGCCAGGACTGGTACGCTGGCTTCTGAACCGAACTTCAGGCTTAGGGCTCGCAGGGCTCGCACTTAGGATTCACGAGATTACGGGTGATTTTTAATGCTTCAGGATTATCCAATGCTTGGCGGCTCGGGGGCTGTGCGCTTAGGAGTTTCGATGCATCCGCTCGCACCACATGTTTCGGAGTTTGAGGGTTTAGGGCTTCCCAAACACCCTGCGACGAGGCCTTGTATTCTGCCGCATTCCCCAACTCATCCTTGACTTTCCCCAGGCCGTGCGACACCTGCTCCTGGGAAGACTTAACCTTGACCCAGGAACTACAAGATACCTGAAGTACCTGGACATGAACCCAAAGCAGGAATCGTAGAACTTACCAGGCTGAAAGGCACAAAGGCTCATATGTGACACCTGAAAAAGGCCATGAAGGCTTCCAGGAGTTTCGAGGACCGGACCTTGGGGGATTGGATTGTGTAGAGTGGCTGTTAAAGGATTCCTTTTCATGGCTGAAGTCACAAGGCAAGCCGCCCCAACCCGAAACTTTGAACTTCCAATCAAATACTGAACTCCACGCATAATGTAGAGGCCGGAATAAATAGCACTTGGTCTTGGGCTTCTTTGGAGTATATGTATACACGTATAATGAGGAACCCTAAGGGGGGTAATACTGGTATTACTTGTATCAGCCCGATCAAGCCGAATCCTAAACTGCACAAGCAAAGCACCCCATGTCACATGTGCGACGCACCCGATGTTTAGGGCTACGTACACTGACACCTTGGACTCTATTGGAACAATCTGAACAAGAAGAGGCCAACAAATCACTATTACAACTCTGGACCCTACTAAACCCTACTCCCCGCAAGCTTGCTCCAAAACCTCTGAACCTCAGAATAGAGGCCCAATTAAATCCGAAACCCTGAACCCGTTTTGCATCAGGACTTGTGCAATCGCCTGAAGAACATGGACGGAAGGTCAGCACTCCTGACCGAACCCTAAACCCCTTACTCATTTACCCTAAACTCCAGTAATGACCTCAAGAGCCTAAAACCCTGAAGCCCTAAACCTCCCTTAGCCCTAGACCCCCAAGCCGTCCTCAAAAGCGGCTGCGCAAGCAGCCGCGTCTGGATCCGGGCTCCAGGTCGCGCGCGTCCACGTCTTCTGGGAGCCCTCCCCTTGGCCGCAGGAGGCTCTGAAAGGGCCGATGCAAAGAGAGATAGGAAAAGTGGGGTAAAAAGGGTGGTATATAGATTATAACGTAGTATGATTGTAGCAATATGGGTTCAATGTAGCGGTATTGTGAACAGAATAGGGTTGGTCGTGGTATGTGGAGACTACAATTACAACAAAGGGATGGTACTACAACGTCTTGACTCTTGATACCCGCTACCGCAAGGTTCAGGGTTGCTTAGCAGAGCTGTAGCAAGGGTTAGGGCTTTGGTGGTTCGTTTGCGAAGTCCCGAAAAGAAACCCTTTACGCATTCAAGAAGCTCAAAACCCTAAACGCTAAGGACAAGCATAGCTGCTGGAGCCTGTCAGTGCTGAAGCATCGTCGGGAAGGTCCTTGGCATTGAGCTTGCGGACTGGAGCTTTGGGTCTGGGTTTGTTAGGGGCTCCGATGTGGGTTGTGCTTGGTTCTGCTACACTTATTGATGACTAGGTTGCTCTATAGGACCACAAGCGTAATTGACAAGTGTCCTGAAGTGCAACCTGGTGGCACTTGTTGCACTACTTACTTCCCTCATCTACCGTCTTCGTGGTCTGGTCGTCACAGACTGCAAGAGACATGTCCAGCTCATGCTCTGCCGATACAGCCGTTTCTGCACCGAAGGGCGTCACGTCTCAGCTTGAATATACGGCTTAGGGCTCACAAGGAAGGTTGAAACACATACTGGAACCTGCAGGCTTGCATGCAAGGATGCCTGCCGGAACCTAACACTAACACCATAAATCCCAAATAAAACCTTCTGGTCGATTGCGACTCCCTCGGCTCGGGATACTACTGACCACCGATCCTCTAACAGTGGCTACACTGACGGTAGTAATTATGAAGCTAAGACTGAAAAAACGAAGAATGACAATGGTGATGATGATGGTGCCCGTCATAGCAACAGCTTTTGATAAACATTCTTATCACAATCATAAGCAGACATATAGTCACAATCATAAATGCCAAAAACATCAGAAGAAGTAGACGACTATTTGTGATGTGACGAACTGTATATGGCAATAACCCCTTCCCGACCTCTCCACTATGCACGGAAGAAAGCCGAGGCGCAGGGCTGTAGATAGACGAAAGAAGCCGCAGCTCCTGAATGTCGTAGGGCGCATAAC